CACAGCTTCTCTGGGCAACCTGTGCCAGTGCCTTACCACCCTCACAGGGAAGAAACTACTGTGGTGGTACTTGGTGTCTACTGCATCTTCCTCCTTTGTTAAGCCATATGAGAGATCAGATCCTTCAGCTACTCAGTGTTTCTGACCATGCTAGAATCACCTAGAGGAGACTGCAGGAGTGAAGCCCAATTTAAGAGTAAGCCCTGCACACCCCTTTGGGGTTTCACTGACACATACCTCGGCAGAAGCTGGAAAGTTTCCAGATATGATCAGTGTCTTTACCTTTTTGTGAAACAGGCATGGTCAGTCAGTCTGCTTTCAGTTTAGGGTGCTCTGATGACAGCAGGGGAACAGATGACTGTGGTAATGGCTTTGTCCATCGGATGGTGACATACTGCAGGCCAGTAAATGTTGTCTCCTGTTGAGTTTTTATACCGGCTCTAACCCTCCAGGATATTTGAAAAGAAATTGCCGAATTAGGGATTTGCTTCCAATTACAGTCCAGTGCTTGGTTACTGCATGCATAAGGACTGTCACAGCATTTACTTGCTCTTCCTGAAGGCTGTTGTCCACGTACACGTGTGCTGTGTGATAGCCATGTTGGATGCCAAGTAGTTATTTCTCTTTAGTTGCACAAGTCTTACAATTGAAAGGTTGACCTCTGATCTCAATGTGATCTTCTGAGAGAGTCTCAGTTTCACACTATAATTACAAGGTCCTGTGCCTAAGTTGGAGCAGTCCCAAGCACAAACACAGGCTGGGGAGAGACTGGATGGAGAAGGACTTGGGGTGTTGGGTGGGGAGAAGCTTCCCATAACCTGGCTTCAGTGTGAGCTTGAGCCTGAATCTCCCCCATGTGCTGGGCTGCATCCCCAGAGTGGGAGCAGGAGGTCGAGGGATGGGGTTCTGCCCATCTGCTTATTTCTGGGGAGACCCCTCCTTGTAGCCATGTCCAACTCTGGAGCAACAACACAAGAAGCATTTGGAGTGAGTTCAGAGGAGGCCATGGAGATGCTGCGAGTGCTGGGGCCTCTCTTCTCTGGAGACAGGCTGAGAGAGCTGGGCTTGTTCAGCCTAGAGAACAGAAGGCTCTGTTAGAAGACCTTAGAGCAGCTTCAGTGCCTAAAGGAGCTACAAGAAATCTGGAGAGGGGTTTTGGATAAGGGCCTGTAGGGAAAGGACAATGTGGAATGGCTTTAACCTGACAGAGGGGAGATTGAGATGAGCTCTTAGGCAGAATTTCTTCCCTGTGAGGGTGCTGAGGCCCTGGCACAGGGTGCCCAGAGAAGCTGTGGGTGCCCCATTCATGGCAGTGTTCGAGGCCAGGTTGGATGGGGCTTGGAGCAACGTGGTCTAGTGGAAGGTGTCCCTGCCTGTGGCAGGCTGTTGGAACTGAATGAGCTTTAAGGCCCCTTCCAGTTAAAGCCAATCTGGGATTCTATGGTTCTATGGTAATTGTATTTATTTTTTGGAATATCTTGGTTTTCATCACCTCCCCAGTCGTTTCCACCTTGATATCCCTTCCATTGTTCTAAATGCTTCTACTTGCAAGCAGGCTTCTTCCCCCTCTTGTTCCTGTGTTGAAGACTGTTATCTTGCAGCAGTTCATCACCTGTGTTTCCTTCTTGGTGTTTGAACTTTTCATCCAGTATCACAAGTATTTTCATTTCTTCCCTTGTAGGAGCATTGTGTCCTTGGGAAAGAAATCCTCAGGAAATATTTCTAATTATTTTATCTCTTTAATTGGAAGCTGCTGCCCAAAACTGGCTTGCATTTGAAAAGCTGTCAGCTTCAGTATGTGGTTTGCTGACTGAGCTCCTGTGTTAACTTTGCTTTTGAGAAATTGTTTGTCTTATTCCTGTAGCAGTGGCAGAAGGTGGAAAAGCGGTTCTGGTGGCTGAAACCTTCTCTGTTTATTTATATGTGTGAAGTTCTTTTTGTTTGCTTGGCAATACACTCCCATTTCATGGAAAGGCAAAGTATTTTCCATCATGAGGCAGTGTTATGGTTGGCTCTAAGCAAATACTTGAGGGGATGAATCACTGGCTCTTGAACTGCGCATTGCAGAGAGAAGGAGCTTAATGCCACTTGGAGCTGACTTCTCCGTGGATGTGTGTTGTGGTTTAACCCCAGCCAGACAGCTTGTTCACTCACCCCCCCCCTTCTTGCCCTTCCCCTATTCTTGGAGGGATGGAGAGGAGAATCAAAAAGAATGCAACTCCCACGGGTTAAGATAAGAACAGTTTAGTAACTAAGGTATAACACAAATCACTACTGCTACCACCAATAATAGTAATGATAAAGGAAATAACAAGGGAAGAGAATACAACACCTCATCACCAGGCGACCGATAACTTGCCCCCCCAGCCTGACCAAGCACCGACCGATACCTCATCCAACCCTGCAGTCCACTAGCCCTTCCGGGTCACTCTCCCAGTTACATCCTGGGCATGACGTGCTGTGGTATGGAATACCTCTTTGGTCAGTTTGGGCCAGGTGTCCTGTCTCTGCTTCCTCCCAGCTTCCCTCCTTCTTGGCAGAGCATGAGGCTCACAAAGTCCTTGGCCAAACCAAAACATCACTGTTTTCAGCTCTGTTCCCAGCCCGAAAGTCAAAACACAGCACTGCACCAGCTACCAAGAAAGAGAAAAATGACTGCTACTGCTGAACCCAGGACAGTGTGCTCCATGACCTGGTGCACAGGAGGCCTACTTTGGGTTGGCTGGGTATCCTCACTGCCCCACAGGTGCAGATCTGCTCAGCAGTTGTTCCACGGGAGGGTGCACTCATCTTGCCCACTTGGGCTTTTTGCAGTAGCAAGCTCATCAGTCTGTGCAGATTGCAGCTCCTTCATGCATCTGTGTATGTGCTTGAGCCTTCCAGGAGAGCAGCTGCTTTGTTGTGGCAGGGATGATCGCAATGGCTGGTAGCACAAGTAGCATCTGGTGATCATAATTCAGGGTGAATGGATGGCCCTCCCTGTTGGAAAGCAGGCACTGGCTGCTGCTACCTTTACTGGTGTTGCACTTCAAAACATGGGTCCTTTCTTCTTTTTTTTTTCTTCTTTTTTTTTTTTTTGTTTTTTTAAGAAAATGATGCTGTTGCTTAGTTGAATCATAGCTGTCAGCTCAAAACATTTGGGTTAAAGTGTTTTTGGAGGGGATGTTCAAACACAAAAGGTAAAAGTCGCAAGCCACACAAAATTCTCCAATAGCATGATTTATAAGGAAACTGGTACTCTTTGGTTAACAGTAGGTCATGGTCTTATCATGGAAGACTGCTGACTTTTCAGAGCAGCTGCAGAGACTGAGCTGTGTAACTGCTGAACACCAGGAAACTGCCTGTTTGTCTGTTAGCATGTGCTTGCTGTCAAGCCGGGCTTTAAGTGTCTGCTGCTGGGTAGGATAGGAGGCTTTTCTTGGCTTCTCTTGACGCTTCTTTTGTAACATTCTTTGTTTTCTCCTTGAAATTTTTTTTTCTTCTTTTAGACAATGTCTTAAAAAAAACCCTCATATTTTATTCCCACAGTATTTGCAAGTGGACTGTGAAGTATTTTTAGAATTAAAAGCCAAAACAAAACATTTTTGTGTCAAAATTTGACTGAGAGGAGGGATTTTAAAAAATGAGGCTAGAAGTTAAATTTTAAAATCTCTTTCCATCTCTGTATGCAAAGATTGTTACATCATATTGAAACAATAATATATTTCATCTTTCATGATGTACAAAATGGTTTTGGTTTTGTGTGTTGGCAGTGTCTCTGAGCTTGGACAGAAGCAGAATTGTTCACTCATCACTTGCATCTCCCTCTCTACTGTATTTCCCCCTCTGTTCCATCCTGCAGCTGACCTGAAGTTTGATGCATTCATCATCTTCTCTTCAGGAGTTGGGGTGAGGGAGTCAGGATGGCCACTGGCAGCCAAATGCTGAAGTTCATTACGCTGTAAAGCTGCCCAGGAAAAATGCCACAGCTCTAATGCAATCCAGTACATCACTGTTTTAAAAGCCTTCTCTTAGAAAGCTTTCCCTCTGCACTTCGGAACCTCTCCTCACACGTTGGTATTGTGTTGCTCGTTTGCAAGGCAGATCTGTAGCAGTCTTTTCTTCATAGAATCACAGACTGGGAGGAATACCTCCCACCAGACCAGGTTCCTTCAAGCCCTGTTCAACCTGGCATTGAGCACTGCCAGAGGTGGGGCAGCCACAGCTTCTCTGGGCACCCTGTGCCAGGGCCTCAGCACCCTCACAGGGAAGAACTTCTGCCTAAGATCTCATCTCAGTCTGCCCTCTGTCAGGTTGAAGCCATTCCCCCTTGTCCTATCCCTACAGGCCCTTGTCCAAAACCTGCCCTCCGGGTTTCTTGTAGCCTCTTTAGGCACTGGAAGCTGCTTTAAGGTCTTCTTGGAGTCTTCTGTTCTCCATGCTGAACCAGCCCAGCTCTCTCAGCCTTCTACCTTTTGTTCCTGATTACTGAGCCTCCCAGTTTGTCTGACACTTGACAATTAACTCCTTGTACATGATGGTAAGCACCAGCCAAGGGAGTGCTGTCAAGCTCAGTTTCTACTAAATAAGGGAAGTTTATCCTGTCGTTTCTCTCTTCCCCTTCATCTAATCAGCTTTTATAGTCTACTTGCTTTTATGTTCTGCTGTCCCTGCTTGAGGGTGACCTGGAGCAGATACTGTTTTGCTCCTCTTCTTCTTGTAAGTAGTAATTTGAGGTGAGGAGTTGGTCACTGCTGTGCACTTGGTGCTGTGGTGTCTGGAGTACCAAGGCTGTAAAAACAGATTATGTTTTTCTGTAGCTGTGGCTAGTCCTAAAGCTAGTAGGTGGCAAACTTTTTTGAAGCCTCAGGAGCATTTATCCTCTAAGGCTGAATGTAGCTGAAAATAACAGCATGGCTTGATGTCATGGGGGGTGTAGGGAGGAGGTTGAAAACATCTACCTTAGAGGCAGTTGCCAAGTAAATTGTTTGTTCTTTTCCATCTGTCTTCAGGGGCTCTTCAGCGTAGTTCCTAAAAGTGAAAGCAGAGTCAGCCCTAATGACTCACTGCTCCCCATAAAAGCTTACAGAATGCTGCTTCCAGATACAACTGCATCTGCACCCTGAAGTACAGTCCACTTCTGTTACAGCTCTGTGTGAGCAAGCCCATCTGTTCCTGAGCCAAACAAACCTAAGGGTGAGTTGTCCAGAACCACTTGTTCTTATTCATGCTTTAAGTTGTTGACCAGAAAAAACTAGGTTTCACTTACTGGTTTTGATCTTGTCTTACGTCTGTTTTTGTTCCTTAGGTAGGTTCTTACTGCTAATCCATAAAATACAGCTTTTCCTTTCTCATTTTGATGAGAAGAGATTCACTATGTTAATATTTTTTGTAAGCTACAGAACAGCTTAATTTGGATTCTAAATCTCTAACCGTTTTACATTTTAGTATTATGTTACTAAAATGCCCTTAAAGGATCTAGACTTATAGATCCATGCATATTATTTTGCTTGGGAAGACATATTTCATGTTTAATATAACTAGTCCTTTTTAAAAAATAACTCTCTCAGGTACCCCCCAACCTTTCAAAGTCATCTGAACCTGTTGTGATCTTGCACAATTCTGTTTAAGATCCATACAATCTGTATTGGCTCCCTCACATGCACTTTTGAGTGGCTGAATATGAAGCCAGTAGCTGTGTTGGCCCAGATGGAAGGACTCCTGAGCCTTGTGTACCACCACTTGTTGTAGTCCAGCTGTTTAAGAGAGTAAGGCAAGCACGTTGTGGTGCCAGAACCCTTCTAATGATCCATGCTTTAGGAATTTCTTGAACAAGTTGTCCAGATCTTGTAATTTTTTTTGCAATTAATATCCCTTGAGGGGTTTTTTCTTCCCTGGTTAGCCTTCAGTTAATTTCTTAATATGGAACCTTTCACTGTGCTAAAAGAAGATAACATACCTCAAACTAGAGAAGAGTCTTGAGAGCTTGCTTGCAGTCCTCTCCAGTGACATCTAGACATCCAGAGACTTGCTTATATGACCAGTGTCTGGCTTCCCAAGTAATGTTGTTATGGTCTTGTCCCAGTGTCAGCCTTTCATGTTTGAAAGGTCTTTGTCTTTTTTCTAACTTTATGGTGCCGCATGCGTACTGTTGAATTATTTAATGATTGTATCATAATAATAACCTGTTACAGGATATTCACCATGACTTCTACCTTAAATTGGGTTAAACTTGATTCTTAAAAGAATAACATGTGCTTAGTCTTAAAGTTACTTATTTATTCTGGTATGCCTGAAGTGCTTAAGTAGTGAAATGATGTCTTTTGTAAGGCTTTATTTTAGGTGAAACTTTAATGATCTATAGAAATACACCCTATGGCTTGAAAAATCACTTCTGATGAAATGGGGGTCTGAATCTTCTTGCTCTTACTAGCATTCTCAGTGTATGGTTTGGAGAGACGACCCTACAATCTTGGTTGCTAGTGGTCCTGTATTTGATCCAAACCAGTTGAATAAAGAACAAAAGAATGATTGAATTAGGTTTTGTTCCCCAAAAGGGAAGATTGGTTTGACACAAGATCTGAACAAGCATAAACCTGCATGGAAAACACCCCTTTCAAAATTCCAATTAGATCTGTAGGCATTAAAATGTTGTCAATAATTCCTGTTTATTTCAGGGTCAGTACTTGGTGCTTCTTTGAGGATCCAGTTGATGTAGGCACATTCCAGAAGATATGTTTATGCACAGATGGACTAAACAGTTCACTGTTAAATCTACAGTTCGTTGAGATATGCCATTACTGTAAGTGCAGCTCTTCACAATTTTGGCTATTTTGTAGATTCTTTCTGGAAATGATACTGAATAATCCTGATAAGAAATGAGACCCTTAAGAGTTCAGCCTTTATTTGGGTGGCCTAAGCATTATGTCTTTATAAAGAACAAATGAAATTGGTTTGGTAATACTTAGTACTTGAAGGGTAGCAGTGTGCTCGATTTAAAGTGTGCTAGGCACTGTGCTAGACAAAGTTGTTCCTCTGTATCCAAAACCTATGGAACAAATGGGAAATAATAGGTAGTATAGAAAGAAATAATGTGTGGGCAAGAGCTACTTTACCCAGGGCACTTCCTTTTCCTTCCTTTCCCCCTCCCTGCAATAGATTTCAGGTACAAACTTTGTTTCTGAGGTGCTTTATCCACCAAGGATGATTCTGTTGACTAAAATAGGAATTCTTTTGCTATTCATTAGAAGTAGAAACACTGACTCTTGTTTTGGATTTGCTTTTTCAGACCTCCTTCTGGATGACCAATGTGTATTTTAACTGATTGTAACAGTCTGCGACTTCCCATTCATTCCAGCTGGTAACAACACTTATAATGCAAAAAAAATCACGATTCAGGATCCCACAAACATTACTCTTAAAGCTTTCTAGATGATTGTAGTTGCTTTGGTTGTGTTCTATGCTAGCAGAAGCCTTTTCCAAGGTTTACTGTTGACTCTAGAGCACCGCATTCCCTGTTTACTGGGAGCCCTGAGGGCTGGCAATATGGGAAACTCGTGTGTTTGCCGCGATGACAGTGGAGCAGAAGACAACGTGGAATCTCGGAGTTGGCAAACGGAGAACAGTAGAGTACATGTACCTGAAGCAAGAAGCCACCCAAGGGACCCTGTCCGTCCACCCAGGAGGGGTCGAGGGCCACATGAGCCAAGAAGGAAAAAACAGAATGTGGACGGGCTAGTACTTGACACACTGGCTGTAATTCGGACGTTAGTAGATAAGTAAGTACCTCCTCAAGGAATAATCCAACATGAATGAAAATGTTCTTGTCTCCTCTCAAACTGTGGCTCCATCCTCTCACCGATCTACACCTGACCCTCCCTGAAGCAGTCGCGTGTTTCCATCTGGAGACTTAGGAGAGGAGCACCTTTTCTAGGTAATAGAAGTAGCTCCTAAGTGTACAGGTACAGACTATTCCGAGAGCTGAGAGCTTTCTCACAGTTCCTGTCTGACCCTGCACCCAGGTGGGATGAGGAATGTGTTCCGTGTTTCTAATGTGTCATAGATAACACACAGTTTAGGGAGCAACAAACACTCCAGAGTTTGGGAACTTCTGCCCTAAAAACTGGTGGTTGTGCAAGATTTTTGTTTTCAGGCTGTATTTACTTCTTTGAAAATGGTTAAGCAAAACTAAGAGCTTTGATCTTTGTTGGCTTGTATAAACAGACTGAGGTTTTCTCTCGTTTTAAGTGACTGCATGTTGTGACTGTTCAACTCCTGATCCCACTATAGCGTTCTTTACATGCTCAAAGCATCTGTTAAGGGTGTGGGGATATTTATGGTTTAGTCCTATTTTGTTTGTTTTGCATTGTTTTCTACAAAGCTTTAAAAGGACCTTTTAAATGATGGGATAAATTAGCTCATCATCTTTTGGGTTAGGTGTAGGCTAGGAATTGCAAGGCCAAAGCAGAAAAGAAAAGAACTGTTCTAGTTTCACAGCTGGGGTTTGAGTTTAAGGTCTGTGAGGATAAGAATGTTAGCCTTGATTCATACACCTGCTTTTTACTTTGGAATGTGCCTGCAGAGGAGGAGTTTGCCTTCCTGCTGTAAAATGCCTTACATGGAAATACCAGCATTTTATTTTTTTCCTGAACATTTAAATCTGAGGGGTTTGGGTTTTTTAACCAGGTTTTATTTTGTGGTCTGTCTTCAAATCATAAAGGTAAAACTGTTTTGAAAGCCCTTCCCTAATCTTGCATGCTTTTCCCTCAGTTCAGCTTCTTAAGTTGTTTCACAACACTTCATGCATAGCTGATCCTGTTGCTGTGGATCTTGCAATCGGTTTTGTAATCTTGTAAGTGCTTTCCTATGCTACTGAGGGAAAATAAGCAGTTATTTTGCTGATCCTGAGTCCTGTTTCTGACAAATTTCTGAAGCTGTGTTTCTTAGTTAATACAAGCTCCAGTGAAATACTTTCAGACTCCCATAACCATGTGGGTTGGAAGGGACCTCATGAAGCTCATCCACTCCAGCCTCCCACTTAAAACCCAGGTGCAGCAGGAGCAGGTGGCTCATTTTATCCAGTCAAATGCTGGAACATCTTCAGGATACAGAGAATCCTCCATATCTTTGGGTCCCGGTTCTAGTGTTTGACCATGCCCATGGCTTAAATAGTAAATAGTTTTAAAAGCTGGAATTTTGCATATTCTAACACATGCCTGCTGTGTGCACTCTGAAAAGCCTGACTCTGCTCTTTCCTATTGCACAGTTGCAGACAGCAGTATGATATCTTCTCCTTTCTACTACTCTCCCTTAAGGATGAACAAACCTATTTCTCATAGCTTATGTTTCTGTGTCACGTTCTTTAGCCACCAACCATCTCAGAAGTCCTCTGCTAGACCCATTTCCTTGTAGTGATATCTGGATGTAGGGAGCTCAAAAATGAGTTTCACTTGGTTTGCATTAAGGCAGCTGGTAAACCCCAGCTGGTTTTATAATGCAGCTAAGTATTACAAGCTCTTGCAGATAAGACAGAAAGCTATGGCTATGAATAATGGAGGGGTCTGTTCATAAGGCAAACTCTCTAAATGTGAAAAAAATTAAGGAGCTGTTCTGCTGGACTTGAAGCTGATGATAAGCCCTCTTAGATTAATAGGAATGCTTGCCTGGGGGGAAAAAAGTCACATCTGGAAGTCTTGGTTTTCAGTGTAGGTGCAACACCGTAGGAATAAGTATGTTCTGTTGTCACCTGTTCCTCTTAGAACCTAAGTTTTCAGTTTTGAAAGCACTACAATAGAAGGAAATGGTAGGGAAGCTGACAAATCTCTTTGCATGTCAAAAAATGTGCAAGAATAAAACCAGGCTAATGTGAAACTATGTAAATAATAGCAGGTTGGAAATACGGGCTTCAGTGTGACAGTAGAGCCTTGGAAAGCAGAGGGCAGCAGTCCAAAGAACAGAAATCAAACCCGTTCTTCTGACATTCTTTTCCAAAATCTATACTCAAAGTTAATGCATGGAAACAACTCTGAAGTGAAGTGTAAATAAGTTGTTACCACTTTGCTTCAGTTTCATTGTTAGATTTCAATCTCAAAGTTTGGACCTAAACCATCTCTGACAAGTGCTATTTTTCCCCTTGTGTCTAGAGATACCTGTTTTCTACAAGGAAAGAAGTTTAATTTCCTAGCCTCAGAAGGATAAGTGCTAATTTTTGGCGTTTATATGAAGTGCTGCTTTGCAAATTAAGAAATTACAAGAATGACTGCTTTGTTTCTAAATCAGGGAGCTCATCTGGACAAAACTCTTCCCTATAAGGGTGGTGGGACACTGGCGCAGGTTGCCCACAGAAGCTGTGGCTGCCCCATCCCTGGCAGTGTTCAAGGCCAGGTTGGACAGGGCTTGGAGCAACCTGGTCTAGTGGAAGGTGTTCCTGCCTGTGGCAGGGGTTGGAACTGGATGAGCTTTAAGGTCCCTTCCAATCCAAACCAGTCTGGGATTCTATGAAACTTCTTTTTAGCCTTGTCTTGTGGAAATAGTCAAGATTGTCTTAATTTGCTTGGTACAGAAAACATGTGCTTACAGTGAATCTCTTTAGTCACGACAGATTTTTCTCTGCTAATTAATCTCTCCAAAGTAGGTAGTTTTATTATCTGCATGATTAATCTGTGTTGAAAGTTTCTAAAATTCTGTATTTCACATTTCCAATTTAATTTCAGGCCTGTGTGATAGAAATTGAGTGTGGCAGGTATCATTCTAAGCCTGGGGTTAATCTGCAGTGCCCAAATAAGGCATTTAGGACATGCTGCAGTGTCTGATTTCTCTGCCGCGTACTAAATAGGATTTTGAGATCTTGCTTTAGGTACTCCCAGCAGCAGTGCATGTTCAGATGGACAGACCTGGCCATAGCTTCTTGTCCTTGGTCCAGCACTGAGCCTCAGGAACTGATATAGTTTGAACTCTATGGTTTTCATGTTGGAAAGGTGACTGGGTTAAATAGCTTCTATTCAACTGCCTTACTTCTTACAGCTTGTTACTGAGTTTGAAGTCTGTGATCCTCACAAGTGGCTCACCTTTCAGTTTTGTGGGTGGTTTTTGTTTTGTTCCCTTTTAGTATTTATATATTTAGCAGAGAATTTCTGGGGGAAAGTATGTTTAAGCTATGTCCCTTGTGCACTGCTCTTGGCTCACTTCACAACCTCTGACACAGTTTCTTGCTTCATACCCTGAGGAACCCTGCTGAGCAGCACTTAGCCTAAGGATTATGTTCAGCTTTTCAACATGCAAATATGGATCACCATTTTATTCATCAGCTATTGTAGATATGCAGATGTTGACTTTGAGCCAGATAAAGGCTCCATTCCCATCTGTGTTTCAGATCTGAAAGTGGTATTAGCAGTCTGCAGCCTATGTAACTTTCTTTTGTTAAATACTGGAGTAATTTTCTGTCTGTGTATTATCATTTGGTGTATTATGTTGATAATTGTGCATAAATTTTGACCTGTATAATATCTCTTTCAGTGACCAGGAGCCTCCTTATTCAATGATCACGTTGCATGAAATGGCAGAAACAGGTATCAAGGCATTGTGTTGGGCATTTAAGTTGTGATTCATAGAATCATAGAATCATAGAATAGGTAGGGTTGGAAAGGACCTTAAGTTCATCAAGTTCCAACCCCCCTGCCATGGGCAGGGACAACTTGCTCTAAACCATATTACCCAAGGCCTTGTCCAGCCTGGCCTTGAACACTGCCAGGGATGGAGCATTCACAACCTCCCTGGGCAGCCTATTCCAGTGCCTCACCGCCCTAACAGGAAAGAATTTCCTCCTTATATCCAGTCTAAACTTCCCCTGTTTAAGTTTTAACCCATTACCCCTTGTCCTGTCACTACAGTCCCTAATGAAGAGTCCTTCCCCAGCATCCGTATATGCCCAAATATATTCCAAAGCAAACAAACAAAACAAAAAAAGAAAACCCAAACCAACAAAAAAACCCAAACAAAATAAAAACAAACCAAAACAAAGAACCCCACAAAAGAACAAAGCCACAACACTCCTTTTCTTTGCAAAGATGGATGCATGTGAGCAGCGTGAGTTAAAACTTGGTGTAGCTCTAGGGAGGTGGTATCCAAAATACAGTTCTACTAGTTCTACCCTCAGAGGCTTCACTGAGCTCATTGCATTTGCCTTAGCTTTGAACTCTGTTAAACCTTCCATGTGAACTCTGCAGAAGCAGCCAGTGGTTGTCCACAAACTTCTTGTAATGGCATTAAACCATAAGCCACAAAGCATTTTCATCTGCAGCAAGGTGGAGCCAACCTAGATATATATGGTAGACATGGTTTAAACCCATGTGCTCCCATACAGGCAAATAGTACATACTTTTTGTTTGGGGTTTTGCTGTCCTTACCTCTGCTTCATTGATGTAGCTGTTCCAACCCTGTCCCTAAGTTCTCGGGCAGTATGAGCTGTGTCAACATGGGCTGTTTCAACTTTGTCACAGTAGGAGAAGTTCTCCCATCTCAAGAGCTCCACTGAATTTCTGATTTAGGTGAATTTTTGTCTCTTGGTAGAGTTGCTACTAGTCTTAGGAAATATATTTCTAGATCATAATAAATTAATCAACCTGATTAGATATTACAGCATTTCAGAAAAATGTTTTTCAGGGGAATGTGCAAACAAAAACTCCAGTGTATCACATATTTACTTGTCACTGTTGAAGGGAGCACTAGGTCTTTTTAACCTTACTCTTACATGCAGACACTTTGAAGGGAACTACGTTCTTGTAAATCCAAATGTTTACTTTGTTAGTTTAATGTCTTATATGTGGATTATTGTATACTTGCAAACAGAAGCTGTTGTCTACTCATTAAGCAATGAGAGTTGTTCTGTAGGAAAACACATTTTCTTTGGACCACCAGGCATGGGACAAGCTAATGCAGTTCCTCAGAGGCCCATGTCTTCCCACTTGACGGAACTTGGGAAGAGTCCTCCAGTTCTGGCTGGAAGAAATACTTCCTCATTGTCATCAGGAATGCAGCATATAACACTTAATAGTTGACATTGGACACTGAACTCTTGAGTATTGCAGTGAAATAAAGTGCTTGTCCATACTGGTTCCTTCCTAATATCAGTGGCAGTTCACAGGTGCTCTGGCCTGGGCTAGATTTTTCTCCAAATAAGAGAGGGGTTCACTAGTAGCCAAGCTGCTGAAAACTCTTTGCCTTGAATTTAAACTTCTGTTTAAACAACGGAAGAAGAAACAACCAAAACTGTTGGGTTGTTCTTCAATTTATATTCAGAGATTTATTTTGAACACTTCAGGATTGCAGTGTTAAGTCTGAGTGTTACTTCTGTTTTGTGTTTGACAGATGAAGGCTGGTTGGAAGTGGTCCAGTCTTTAATTAGAGTTATTCCATTAGAAGATCCCTTGGGACCAGCTGTTATAACTCTGCTACTTGATGAATGTCCACTGCCAACAAAAGTGAGTCTAAAGCAGATGTATTTATCTGTGGCTAAATTTCAGTTATTTGTGGTTGTCATACCCGTGACAGCTCCTGGGAGGGTTTCACCAGTGACGCGAGACTGTGGGCTGTTCAGAAAGTGGCTGTGACTTGCAATTTGGAGTATTTTGTGGCAACTTGGTTCATAATTGCCACTTAAGGCTAGAAACCTGGGAGGGGGAGTGGGTGGGGGCTGGGGGGGGAAGATGGTGGGGAAATGTGGCCCATGGAGAAGAACAAGAGGCCTTTGGTTTTTAGCTGTTCTTCTTGCTGTCATCTCCTGCCTCATGGTGCATGCATGCTATGCAGATGCCATAAAAGTAGTCCAAGTTCTGCCTTTTTGTTCTCCAGTTCTGAAAGCTGCACATTTACAAGTCACTACTGAATTTGTTCTTGCCCTGTGCATAAGAAAAGCAACACCAGTGTGTGTTAAGTTAAACACGTGAGGTGTTTTTAACTATGAAATATCTAGTTAGAGTTTTGGCAAATTTCAGTACTTTTTCAGTGACCACTGATCTGTTTTTTGGATGAGAGTGTGACCCTATGTGTTCTTACAGCGCTTTTGTGGGTGTTTTAGCGGAGGCCTCAAGATACTAACTGCTGTTGAATCATACAGTCACAGAGCGGTTTGGATTGGAAGCGACCTTAAAGCTCGTCCAGTTCCTGCCATAGGCAGGGACACCTTCCACTAGACCAGGTTGCTCAAGTCCCTAAATACCTTTAAATGTGGCGATCATACAGAGAACCTGTATGCTTGTCATGATGTAATTTCATCAGAAGCTGATGATGCCCTCACTGTAGTTTTCATTTAAGGATCTACTTATGCTGCCAATTCTAGTTTGTTGGCATTGTTAGGGGTATAAGAAGGTGGTAGCTTTGTCTTGCATAAACGCATGAGTGGCTGGAGAGCTAGTCAAGCTCTTTACTACCTCAAGTGATTGTTTTCTCTAGCAAATGTCCTAGAGCCATCTGAAACTTCTGATCAAGTTAAGCGTTGTATGATGGCTGTCACATGAACTGCAAAATGACTTTGAAAACAAAGCAATGACTAGAAATTTTGCCTTCTTTGAAAAAGTCAGGCAGTGGAGACACTGAGTGTGCCACATGAAGAGCGGCTTTGTATTTTTTGTTCAGCTGTACAATGTAGTTAGGGATCAAATGATTTAGTTTTTGAAAGCCACATGACTTCTATTAACTTTAAGGAGTTGACCTTTAAATAGTTGACCTTAACAAGACAATTGAAATAAGCTGCCCATTTCTAGGGCACACAGAACTTTTTATTCCTGTAGAATCTCTTCATGGTACAAGTTGTGGGATCTGCTGGTCACTGGTAGCCTGGTAAACTGTTTGCTGCTGATTGTTTGATTGTTTTCTTTCTGTTCAGGTTAAGTTAAATATTTTGTTCTTAAGGGTTTTAAGTCAGTGCTCCATTTCTGTGACAGTTGCAGAGCAGGAGCAAGTTGTATTTAATTTTCTGTTATTGTAGGCTATGAAGTCCATAAAGTTAAAATGGCAGTGTAGTAAACTGTTTATTCTATAAAGTCTTTGTTTAACTCAAAGGAGTTGCTCTCTGTGACATTTCTAGTAGTGGCTAAAAGCAGTATCAGTATGTTGAGAATCTAATTTTAGTGAGGCTTTTCCATCCCAGGCTTGTGGCTCAGTCGTCCTTTCTCTGTTCCTTCCATGTAGTGTCAGTCCTGTTCATCAGTTCTGGATTTGTGTCTTTTCCTTTGGAAACAGAACTGCTTTTCAATGTAATCTCTCTACAAACTTCAGGCCCTAACACAGAAAACTGATTTGAGTGTGGCTCAGCACACAATTCAAAAACCGCATACATATTCAACTTGAGCAGTACTCATTTTTCTCCAAATGGCCTGCTGATGACTTCAATATGAGCAGTTATTCTATTTTAATTAGATCTTAGCCTCAGATTATGCAATTTCAGTCTGAATTAGCTGAAACTTTCATGAAGTCTGGAAAGTTGAGAGGCATTTGTAACTTTGGGGGTGGGGGTTCTCCCTGTGGAGAACTTGTTCTGGCTCTAGATTAACCCCTAATTACTCTGAAAACAGGGTATTTTATAGATCTGTATCTTGAACCTTATCCATACCATACTGCCTGAATTAAGCAAGTCAAAGCATGGTGTTTTAGATTTATTACCCTCAGTGGTGACTTACTAAATCAGTGTGACTGCAGAAAGCCATTTATGCTCTCAAGAATACCATTTATGACATCCTGCAAAGCTGACAGCTTCCTAAATTTATGATGGGGATTGTGGGCTCTTTTGTGGGGAGATTGTATCTTCAGTCCTGAATTCTGTAGTCTAAAACTGCTGTTTTAGCTTGGAAAGGGTGTGAGTTTTAGGGCACTGGAAACAATAGATGGTGTGCCACATGTGCTGGTTGATAGTTTGCCTTTGTCTACTAGTCTAGTTCTTGATATAGGTAGGTCAGTTGTCTATGTCCAGAGTGTCCAGAACTGTTGATCACACTGACTACCAACCTGGTAGTGACTGTAAAGTTATGTTGAACCTTTCTTCCCATTCGGTCTTTATTATTTTCTTATGTTTAAAGATAACCATCCTATGCTGTCCGTGATGTGATGCTGACTTTAGTAATACAGTATAAGAATAATTGGTTGTACTGTATTGAGTTGGGAGGAAAGCTCTATTTGTCAGTGATGATGAGAGTTCTGATTTTTCTTTTTCAGGATGCATTACAGAGGTTAACTGAAATATTAAACTTAAGTGGAGCTGCTGCTTCCCAGGATGCTTGTCAACCTGCCAGACACCGGAATACAACGGCCGTGCTGGGCTGCTTAGCAGAGAAGTTAGCAGGTAAAGCAGTGGGATTCTTCAGGAAACTTGCACTTAGCTTACAGAGGCACTGTCTGCTGTAGCACCCATGCTGCAAACGAGTTCAGAAACGTTGGCTTAGAACTGAATAATGTTTTACATTGAGGGGAGACCTCATGTGACAATCTGCTGTGTGATTAAAACACTGAGTGCTCCCTAGCTTGGGTTTGAATGAGCTATTCACAATCCCACATGCTTAAAAAGCTCAAATTGTTCTGATGCATAGTTAGTAATGGTGGATTGGTGTTTATTTATGGTATATTGCTTCAGCGCTGGTTACCAGTCTCTTCTGTGTAGATACTCTGGCTGTGCATGAATTACTGAGGACAAGTAGTTGTTTTGCCAGTAGACAGAAGTATCAAATTAGTAGACTTCTAAGCTATAGAGAAACAAAAAATACAATTGTTTTTCTTTGTTTTGTTGGTTTTGTTTTTTTTTTCCTGCTAAATATGTATTGCTCTATTGTAGGTCACAGTAAAGATTTTCTCATCTATGTTACTTGAAAGAAAATTGCTGGTATTCTATTTAAAGGTGTCTCCTTGTATAGAAAAAAGTTTTATTCCCTGCCATTTCTAGTACCCTGCTGGAAACTAATGATTAAGTTTCCTTCCCACTGATGGTTGGGTTTCTGTCTAGTTTTTTGCTTCTTTTCTGAAAGTTGACAGGAAAAGGAGCAGAAGTGGTTTTCTGGTATTACCTACTGGTTATTAGAAAAATACAGTATTTCTGTCAAAAAAAAGTAAAGAAATTGGGCAGGAAGCTTTTTCGTACAATAAAACTTCTACCCTACACTAAGTCAAATAGTACAATAATACTTCTACCCTATACTAAGTCAAAAAGTACAATAATATTTCTACCCTGTACTAAATCAAAATGAGATACTGTCTCTACTTTCATCTTAGTGGACAGAGATCTTTATGTATCAGCTCAGGCAGCAAATCAGTTAATGCTGTGTTGGAACCCACTGCAGTTTGTTTGAATTCATAGATATCAGAGTTGGATTCCCTTGTACTTCTCTTGATAAAGCAGACAGTATTTCAGGGTTGGGTTTTTTCTTTTTTTAATTGGTTGTTTGCTATGGTGCTGCTGCAAGTTAACTGTCAGGTACGCTACATTAGATGCTCGGTTTTACTTATTTTGGACTACTGATCAACAGAGCTGGTCTTTATATGTTGATTCTGGAAGTAAAAGGGAGCCAGTCTTTTTTGAAAAGTAATGAGCATGAAAATACTAAGCAGAGGCTGGTGGAGTCTTTATTTAAAATCTCAGAAGTATGGATAGAACTCTGCCCATTTACAGCAGGTAAACTGAATATGTTTGTAATTTGCCAGTAGCTGTGTAATTAAATGTATACCAAATATTTGACTGGAAACAATGATGATTGTTCTACACCGGGACTTGGACCTGCTCAAGTGAGTCCAGAGAAGGCCACAAGAATGCTGCGAGGGCTGAAGCATCTCTCCTCTGGAGACAGGCTGAGAGCTGGGCTTGTTCAGCCCGGAGAAGATAAGGCTCCAAGGAGACCTTAGAGCAACTCCAGTGCCTAAAGGGGCTACAAGAAACCCGGAGAGGGACTTTAGACTTTTAGGGACAGGATGAGGGACAATGGCTTTAACCTGAGAGAGGGGAGATGGAGATTAGACAGCAGGAGGTGAGGATGGTGAGGTGCTGGGCAAGGTTGCCCAGAGAAGCTGTGACTGCCCCATCCCTGGCAGTGTTCGAGGCCAGGTTGGACAGGGCTTGGAGCAATTTGGTCTAGTGGAAGGTGTCCCTGCCTTGGACACCTTGGATGTTGGAATTGGATGAGCTTTAAGGTCTGTTCTAACACAAGCCATTCAATGATGCTACATTATAGTTCTGCTTTGGTGAAAAGTTCTTTAATTTTTGTCTTATGTTTAAAAGATCTGCTCCATGAAGAGTAGTTCCCATGGATGTGTTTAACTTTTAATGTTCTTGTAGGTCCTGCGAGCATAGGCTTACTCAGCCCAGGCATATTGGAATATTTACTTCAGAGCCTGGTAAGCGTCTTCCATCTTTCTGTATGTATCCTACATAGCAATTATAATGCATTTTGTTGTTGTTATTGTGAAAAGTTAGGGTCATATGTAGTAAATACTGGTTATATATGTTACAGGAAGTTGAGATTCCAGAGAGTCCCTAGGATCTCCAGCCTTGGAGATAATTAGAATTTAACAGGACAAGGTACTGAGCAGCCTGATCTCAAACCAGCTCTCCACCGGAGGCTGAACCAAAGGAGCTGTGGAGCTCCCATTCAACCTAAAGCATTCTGTGACAGACTAACAGGTTCTCCTACCCATCTGTGCTGGGTATTTATTAAATAACTTTTCTTCCTGCCCATGTTTAGAACTTCCAGTCCCATCCGACAGTGATGCTTTTTGCACTAATAGCACTGGAGAAGTTTGCACAAACAAGTAAGTATTAGCCTGAAACTGCTCATAACAGCCATACTATGGCTTCTACTGTGTAATTGTCACTTGGGAGCATGAGAGGCTGGGTTGGTGTGAACACAAACATGGAAGAGAAATGTTTGTCCCTTTACAGACAAGAAATAGTGATTGCTTTAGTGACATCCCTCTACCTATGCAGACTCTTGAGATATTTGCTGAAACTCAGTGCAATACTTTCCAGTTGGAAGTTGCTATAGAAGGACTTAGGCCATGAGGCCTTTGTCACTGAAATAAATCTATTACAGGTGGAGAACAGGTACTTGTAGGCATGAAAAAATACTTACTGCTTTAATGACACCCCATCCACAAACCATTAAGAGATTTGTGGAAACTCAGTCATTCTCAGCTTAGAAATTGCTGCATAAAGACTTAGGACATCAGACCTTTGTTATTTGAAAGGAAATAAATGTCAGAGAGATGGAGAACAGCTGTGATATAATAGTCTCTTGATGCAGCTCTCTGCTGAAGAGTTGTATATCTGAATGCAAAGTTAATTTGTGTCTGCTTGGTGAAAGAACTGCATGATGTTTATAATACTGAGGTTTAAAGGGGGGGGTTCTACTGCATTTGCAGAATTTTGCTGGTTTTAACTGAACTTGTCACCAGTTTATAGCATTTATTCTTTTTGCTGTCATTGCAGGTGAAAATAAAATGACAGTTTCTCAATCCTGTATTAGTGACCAACTGATCCTGCTTGAGAAATGGGCAGATAATCCAGACTATTTAAAACGCCAGGTTGGGTTCTGTGCACAGTGGAGTTTAGACAATCTGTGTAAGTATAAGAAAGGGATGGATTAATTTAATATTAATCACTTCTCCAAAGAGATGGAGGATTACTTTTGTGTTTGTTCTGTATAAGCACTTACTGTAAATACACCTGATTGCATTTGTAACCACTCTCCTTCAAAAGGGAAAAAAAAAGAAAGGGGGTAGGGAGGTGGGCAAATAAATCCAGTGTAATTGCATAGAAAGGAAATTTTAGCAAGGAAAATTTTCGTGTAAGGAAGTGGTTTGAACTCTGCAGGTTGAAGCTGCAATGAAAATTCTTCTTTGCACCATATTTTCTGTAACCCATGCGTCAGCAGATGTGCTGAATAGCTAAGTAGTGCAGCTCTCTCTCTGGAATGGCAGGATTACTGATGTCCTGGTGACTGTCACTAGTGTGATCACACCCCAGCAGTGCAGTCTCAAAGAATTATTAAAGACTTAAAGTAAAGATACAGTCTTGTGATCAAAAGTGAAAAAGTGTTTGAGAAAGCACTTGATGAGATCTGCCCTTTAGGATGACGAATAATGATCATATTTGTTTGTTTAGTTGTAATTTGTGGGGTGCAACTCTGTTAGACCTTGTAGGTTCTAATGCCTTTTGGGTAAATTTGAGTAAAAAGTCTTGCTGGTCTTTAGCTAACTTATAGAAGGCCAGCGTCAGCTGTATTTAGTAAATACCAGTGTTAAGTGTGTAGCAAGCTTGGGACATCTGAAGTGTCTTAGTTTACAAACCTGAGATCTTACTGTGCCTGTGTCAGGAACTTGACACCTGGCAAGATAAATACTTCCTGATACTTCCATGTGAAAAGGGTATACAGGGAGAAAGAGCTGATTTGGCTCAGTTCAGGTTTCTTGTTTTCCCTTTCCTGTCCTTCCTCATGGCCAAAATCTTGTCTGCTGTGGTGAATCAGAAGAACTGTGCCTGAACTCTGGCTGAATATACAAATACAATTATAAATCCTAAAGCAGTGGCTCCTTGGTACGAACTTTGATGCCTTACAGCTGCCTGTGTGTTCCCTGACAGTAGGAACTCTAGTCAGAGGTCTAGGTCGTACACTCATGTTTAGAGGATATTTAGCATGCAGTTTTTTGGAAGCGATGCTGTTTTCATGTTGGCAAAATGTCAATATCTCATTCAGATATGCTAAAAATTAACTGGATCCTAGAGAGATTGATTGCCCACATGTGAAATAATTGAAATAAAGGATTGCTGCAGCTGTGATTAAAACAAGCCTTCTTTTGCAGTTTTAAAAGAAGGCAGGCAGTTTACGTATGAGAAAGTTGACTTGACCAGCATTAGGGCTATGCTGAACAGTAATGATGTCAGTGAATACCTGAAGATCTCTCCACATGGATTAGAGGTAGGATATATTTTCATGATTCCAAGCTAAAAAGGAGCCTGAAGAAAAAGGCAGTTTTGAACTCTTTTTGATTGCTATTTGCTCCTGTTATTTTCTGGAATGAATTAAAATTCACTGCTAGCTTTGTTTAGAACCTTTGCTTTGTTTAGAACCTTTGCTTTGTTTAGAACCTTTGCTTTGTCAGATGGTCCTAACATTGCTACACTGATCTCAGCTGGAGAAATGTTCGCACTAAAGTAACACCTGTATCCGTGCCCCAAAACTTTGTAAGAGTGAGGACGATCCTAGAATCCCAGACTGGTTTCGGTTGCAAGGGAGCTTAATGCTCACCCAGTTCCCTGCCGTTGGCAGGGACACCTTCTGCTAGACCAGGTTGCTCCAAGCCCTATTCAACCTGGCCTTGAAAACTGCCAGGGATGGGGCAGCCATGGCTTCTCTGGGCAATCTGTGCCAGGGCCTCAGCACCCTCACAGGGAAGAACTTCTTCCTAAGATCTGTCCTCAGTCTCCCCTCTATCAGGTTAAAGTTATTCCCCGTTGTCCTGTCAGTAGAGGCCCTTGTACAAAGTCCCTCTCCAAGGATGCTGAAGAGACAGCTGGCTTTTCATGCATTTTGATTAAAATTATTCATAAAATACAGTTCCTGTTGTTTGTCCTGTTTAGTCTTGAAAAGCCCATAGCAGCAGGAGTTTTGTCTCAGCCACAAGTCGGTGTTTTCCTTCCACCTGCCCCCACCTTTTTCTAAGAACTTGTTTGACTACTTACACGTGGATCTTCGTGCATTAACATTCAATACCTCTTTGTCTTTCATACCAGCAGTCAGCTAACAACCAGTGAACTGGGTCTTCCTGTCCTGGCTTAGTCTTTAAATGGACTCTGTCAACTTTCTACTTTTTTTTTTATTTTATTTTTTTATTTCCTTTGTGGTTTACCACTGAACAATTTTCAGTTTTGCCTATTCATGAATTTGTGACAATGATTGCTATAAAGAGAGATCGCCTTCTGTCTGAAATGCCTCTAAGATTATGTTGATGTATTTTTATATGCAAGAAACCTATTCCAGAGAGAAAGGGGCTTGTTTGAATGCTAATTTTGTAGAAACTTAATTTTTTGGTTTGGTTTTGGTAGGCTCGATGTGATGCCTCATCCTTTGAAAGCGTTAGATGTACATTCTGCGTCGATTCTGGAGTTTGGTACTATGAAGTTACAGTTATCACTTCAGGAGTGATGCAGATAGGATGGGCTACCAGAGACAGCAAATTTCTCAATCATGTGAGTACACATAATGTTGTCTAGCTGATGATATAACTTCTGTATTTTTCTATTTACACTTAGGAGCATAGCTATGGTTATTCTGTGGCAGTACGGAGCATTTGTGCATTTCCTTTGATATTTTTGTACTTTTATGAAGCTTTCTTTTGCTGAACACAGCGGTATAAGAGAAGGCTATGTTTTCACTGACAGACTGAAACTGTTCATGCAAGTCGCACATAGCTGCTAGCAGTGGCAACATGTTACTTGCTGTTGTCTGGAAGCTTCAGGAAAATTATTTCTTGTGGCTTAGTCTCTTGGAAAGTCTTTAGATAAGTGGTTGTTGCTGTCCTTTGTCTTTGGAAGTAAACCATTACTGACGCGGAAACAGCAGATTACCACATGCTTTGCCTTACACAGGTCACCAAGCAGCCATTTGATTACCCTCTTTAACACAAGGGAAATCATGATTTCAGTGCATGGTATCATTGGATCTGTTGGTTACAGCAATATGGTACGGTTTGGCTGTGACAGCTTTTTTCTTTTTTTTTTTTTTTTTTTTAAGAAAATAAGGATTAAGAAAAGATGAAACCCTTCTTGCTTTTATTCTGATAATACAGCATAAGTACACAATATTTATAGTTTGCTTTCGTCTTCCTCTCATCCAGATAACTTAGTATCTTATTCTAAGTATTCTTCCTACTATTTTACTTACTGCTATTTTACATTTATTTATTTACTTTATTTACTTACTTTTATTTTATTATTTATTTTGCTATTACTTACTATTTTACTTATTTTACTGACTTCTAAAATCAAGTACTTACTAGCATTAAAGCAAAATGTGCTATGTGCACATGAAAGTCCAAGCCTGTAGTCAAAGAATAATCTTAACTGTTAGTAGAGATGTAACTAGGACTTTTTTCTTAAGTCTTCGTGGTAACTCTGTATGCCTGTTGTAAACTCAGTATGCTGTAGCATAATTTATTTCAGTATTTCTGTAATACTAAGAAAGTGTAATGACTGCTACCCAAAAAACTTTTCTGCTTCAGCTTAGGGAGGACTTCCCCTATGATCAGCCTTCCGAACTTTAATGGAAGTTCAATCAAGTGCAAGGTAGAATTGTAGTACAGAAAGTGAGTATGGCCAGTCTGCCACCACTGAGCACAGTGGAAATACAGTGCTGGGACTTTAAGTTGGCATTACTACTGGCTGAGCTTGAGTAAGAAATGTACCTGTGGCCCTTTATTGTTGTAGTTGCATGGCTTTCTATTCCTATGTGGAATTTAATTTAGGAGAAGAATTATATATTTAATGTAGAGATAAGCAGTTAATAACTGCTCATGTCTGGTTATTATAGCAAAAGTCATTCTATATAGCTGGGTCAAATGCTAATATGGCTAATATGAAGATAGGCTAAAAGATACATGTGAGTAAATACTGATGGTGGGGGTATATAAGAGAAATGCATCATGGACATGAAACAAACACCAGTGGGAAGAAACCCAAGGAATGATAGAGTAGCTTTTCTCACCATTTAACTTCAGTCTTACTGTGAGTTCAGTTGTCTTGCTCCATCTCTCCTAGTTATTCATGTAAATAGCATTGTTCTCTACTGGTGTATGACATGTACATCACATCCACAATCCAGTCCTGCATTCCTAGCAGCTTCATACGAACCTGCCCTGAGCACAGGCATTGTAGATGTTCAGTGTAATGGAAACTGAAATAAAAGGCTATGTGTTTGCTTTAGACTGCTAAGAGGCTTAAAAGATTTTTCCCACTTACTGGTAAGGAGCTTGCTGTAGATGCATTTTTCTGTCTGTGCTTCCTGTACAGGGTATGAAAACAGAAAGTGTCAATCTTAGCAGGATTTTTCTCTTGCTACAGCTTGTTGGCTAAATGCTGTTGTTTAAACTCATTTGGTGTCTACCTGAAATACAGGATATTATCTTCTGGGTATGTTGTACATACAGTCATCAGACTAGCCATATGCTCTTTCTTTACAGCATGTGTAACAAAAAGACTAGTCCTAAATATGACAGTAAACACCCATTAGCTAGGCTTAGCTTTAATTTGGGACATTGGAGGCTTGTGTAAACTTTCTAATATTTGCGCTCCAGACAAACCATGCTGAGCACGAGGAAATTATCTTCCATAGTGGTTTTGGGTTGCATGTTTGGGTTTTCCTACATGACAGATTCTTCTCCCACTCTGAAACTTTTAGTTCTGCATTTGTCTCAGACTTTGGCACTATTACTCGATAACTTCTCCACAAAATGAGGGAGGCTGGCACTGAAAGAGCTACACACAATACGCAACAGATCAGTGAAGGGACAGTGGGTTTGTTCTCTGTGTGCTGTACATTCTGGTGGCACTGGAGTATCTTGGGCAGGAAGGTAATACAGGTCTGGTAGTGGGATTTCAAGGTTAAGAGTGTGGTTACGGTTCTGTTTGAGTTTTTAAGATGCAAAAAGCGAACCTAGCTATTTGGGTACTAGTCTTCCGATTTCTAAATATTTTAATAAACATGACTGATTTGAGCTCAGATAATGAAAAACACTTAGGAGACAATGCCCCCTTCCTCCCTGCTCCTCACCCCAACAAGTTCCTTTTGATGTGAAAATGAAGCTTAAGACTAGGTGGAAAGAATTGTCTTTATGTAGGTGGGAGAATCCTTCCTGCTCTGGATGAGTAGTGTAGCTAAATAAAAATACACTTAACCCCTTCTGTGTGAGGACTGCCTGCAGATTGAAATGCTTTACTTTTTTTCTGAAGGAAGGTTATGGCATTGGGGACGATGAATACTCCTGTGCCTACGATGGCTGCCGGCAGCTGATTTGGTATAATGCCAGAAGTAAACCACATTCCCATCCCTGTTGGAAAGAAGGTATTCAGTCCATATTCTGCTGTAGATCCTAGCTGGATTGCTGCACAGGATGTGCAGGTGTCTAAAAAGCAGTTTGTTAATAGGTGCAAACAGAGCAGTTACTGCCTAATCCTGATGATACCAAAAGCTTAATAATTATTGTGCCTCTACTAGTATTTGCAGTTGTTTAAATGTACAAAGTAGGCACCACGCTCTTGCTCCACAGTCTGTTTAAATAGAACCTGTTGGTTAAATGTTTTGGGTTTTTTTTTATGGGCAGAGTACAAATCATAGCACCAACTGACATTGCTGAATGGACATTTAATGATAAGGCTTCTGTCCAGATGTTTGTAGTCCTACAAAATAGGGTTGAAATCTTCCTTTCTGGGTTGAAAGGGTTATTTTAAAGAAGGGAAAAAAAAAACCCCAAATCCTTATCTCGGAATTAGACTTTTGTTTGTTTTAAGGAGGTGTTGCACTGTCTTGCTTACTTTAAATTCTTGGATAACTACTTGGACAGCAAAGTTCTGTTCTTGATCTCAGCTTTAATATCTTGGTAGGAGTCTGCATGCCATGCTTGTGTGAACTGTGCTGCCTCCTATTAAAAACTTCTCCCAAGGATAGCCAAATTAAAACACCTCTTAAATAGCACAAGCATATTAGAAACTTAGATTTTGACAAGAAGGTGTTACGAGGATATTTTCAACAGGTGTAAACAGCCAGGGAGAGACAGAGTGCAGCTTTTTTCCAGCTTTGGCAAATACCCTGCAATACTTCTACAACTGTGTAGTATCAATGCTCAGGCAGACTAAAATATGTTCATTTTTTTATTATTTTCTCCTGGTTTTATCTATCTATCTTCTTCTGTCAGTGTTTCTTCCCATATACTTTTGCAAACAATTCCTTTTAAGTAAGATAACTCATAGTGAGATATGTGATACTTAATAACTGTTCCAGCTGTTGGCATTTAACAACTGAAATCTTTCTTTGCTTTGCATGTAAGGAGACACAATAGGATTTCTACTAGACTTGCACGAAAAGCAAATGATCTTCTATTTAAATGGAAACCAACTTCCTGCTGAGAAGCAAGTATTTTCATCTGCTATGTAAGTATATGCTCACTTGGAAGGACAGTGACCTGCACAATAATTGTTTTAATTACATGAAGTGTTTCCCATTTCAGATGTACATTCATATTTGCTTACTTGAAGCCATCATTAAACAAGTTTCCCAATTGAAAGTTGCTTAGAAATCAGTGAGAAGGATATAATTTTACAGGTGGGTTTCAGGGTCCAAAGTAAATACTTTGAACTTTCCAAAGGTAGGCTCAACTTGATGTTTTCTACTGTCAAGCTAGCACAGCACTGAAATAGAATGTAGTTGTAGCAAAGATGAGTGTATTTCTAGTAGTCCTTGAGGAATTTTTTATCTTAAAAAAAAATATATATATATATATATTTTTTATATATAAAAAGCCTCAGTCCTGCAAGTGCTGAAGAATGTCTGTTTACTTACTGCTGCTCACTGAGACCAGTTCCTGCAGTAACATATTGAATATTCATAGGAAGATGTCTGTTGGTATCATTACAGAAAGGTGTTAGGCTTATTTTGACAGCTCTGTTAAAATTAACACATGGCCAACTCCTGACACTCATGGAAAAGTTCAGCCTTTTAGTTCTGAAAAGATAAGTTGGTGTAATACTTGAGAAAGAAGCTTCTTGTGTAGCTTAAATAAGCATTACAGTACTACGTAAAGTAATACCACTGAGCTAATAATTTCATTCATGTTTTCTCCCTAAAATTAAGTACGAGACGCAAGCAAAGAATAGTTCGGCTTAAAGAGTTGCAGAATATCTATCTATTCAGCTTGCAGTTCTTCATGTGGATTATGTCATTTATACACTCAACAGATTCTGTTACTTGATTAGAACTTAAGGTATTACTGAACTTGGGCCCTTTCAGTAAATAAAACTGAAAGAGGTGATAGTTGTGGTGTTTTACAAGGTGGCTGTGAAGAAAAGATGGCTGTCCTGAGGTAATCCTTCAAGGACAAGGAGGACCATATGGGCATTGTGCTAAGAGTGGTCAGACCTGGATTCATCCTGTGCAAGTCGCACACAAGTGTGTGAGCGTTCCGAGCTCTCCAGGTTCCTGCCCACTCAGATAAAGCAGAGGGAGTGGTGGATATGGAGGTGTCCCTTGCAGCTGGTACTGCTCCTCACAGCTCTGCTAAACAGCAGTTGTTTGGAAGAAAACTACTTCTGTCCAGTGCTGGAGGAAATATCTGAGCTGATCAGTGTAAAGAGGATCGGGTTGCAGGCTGTTCAAATGGATGTGTCTGCTCTTAGTGTGACTAATGCTAACTGTAGAGTAAGCAGCCTTTACTGGCTGACTCAGAGTAAATTCAGCTAAACTCTGATAGTAAATTCAGAAGCTGAGAACTAAATAAAGTGAACATGTGCAGCTGTAACTGGGTATGTTAGAGGCTTTTCTGGCAATTAGCTGTAGCACTGCCTGTTGAAGGAACTTGTGTCTTTGTCATGGTTCAAGCCCAGCCAGTAATTCAGAACCACGCAGCTGCTCGCTCACTGCCTGCCCTTCTTTCTCCCCCTGCTCCCAAAGGGATGGAGGGGAGAATGGAAAGAATGTAACTCCCATGGGTGAAGTAAGAACAGTCCAGTAACTGATGTATAACATCAAATCAATACTGCTACCACCAATAATAATAAAGATAAGGGAAATAACAAGGGAACAGAATACAACTGCTCACCACCTGCTGACTGATACCCAACACGACCTGAGCAGCGATCTAGCCCTTCCAGGTAACTCCCCCTGGTTTATATACGGGGCATGACATGCTGTGGTATGGAATACCCCTTTGGCTAGTTTTGGTCAGGTGTCCTCTTTCTGCTCCCTCCTGGCTTCCCCTCCTACCTGGCAGAGCATGAGACTCAAAAAGTCCTTGATCAGAGTAAACATTACTGAGCAACAACTGAAAACGCAGGTGTTACCAGCGTTGGTCCCAGGCTGAAAGTCAGAAACACAGCACTGCATCAGCTACTAAGAAGGAGAAAAATGCTGCTGCTGAACCCAGGATACTTTGTTTCATGGTATATTTTTTGTCTGGTAATAGTAGTAACATGTCTGGAAAGCTCTCTTACTGTTTGTTATTCTAAAATGTCTGTTCCTCATATTGCAGATCTGGCTTTTTTGCCGCAGCTAGTTTCATGTCCTATCAACAATGCGAGTTCAACTTCGGGGCAAAACCTTTCAAGTACCCACCATCAATGAAGTTTAGTACCTTTAATGATTATGCCTTTCTGACAGCAGAAGAGAAGATCATTTTGCCCAGGTAATCCTGTCTAGTTTGAGTGTGTTTGCATCTGGAGAAATAAAATGCATAGTCTTTATAATTCCAAGTTGCATAGTCTTTATGTTGTAGTTGGCAACATTAATCTTACAGCATCACACCTCCATAGGTCTCCTTTAGAAAAGGCTCCACTGCAACTTCATGAGAAGGGTAGGAGATACACAGCCAAAATCCATTAAATTACACACACACAAAAAAAAAGCTAAATTCAAGTGATCTAGTACTATATAGTAAACTTCTTAGTGAAAGTGCTTCTTGCTGTCTAAAGAACTATTAGGTTGGTCAAGGAGGTATAGTCCTAATTAAAAAAAGATGCCTTATTTAAAATTGACCTAATTCATGATGTTGGCAGCATAGAGATACTGAATGACTGGAAGTCTCTAGGTTGTCCTTTTCTGATCCAGATGAAAATGTCTCTGTGAATGACAGCGCTGACAAAGGTTATTCAAATTTAGAAGTACTTTCCCTAACCATAAATCAAGGTAGATAAAAACAGGTTTGGATATATTCTTCCTTAACGTACCAAATTTCTGGCAGGAATGAAATCTAATGGCTTTTCTGGTTTAGGTCATTAGTAATGAAATAACTTACTGGAACTCAAGCAGTGTACCACAGTAGATAGTGTAATTTGGCATACAGTGTACCCCAGATTTGCCACTTGGATTAAAGCATCACCTCTAGAGTGGTGCTGAGGTTTGCAGTTAAAAAAAAATAGATCTATTGTTACAATTAAGGAAGTGTAACAACATTTCATCCAGTTCCCAACCCCCTGGAGAGAAACCAGGAAAAACTGATTTCGTGTTGATGCCTCATAAATAAACTTGGCCTCCTGTGAGAAAGCCTGTTTATTATGTGATAGCACTGAAAGACTCCCTTCAAGGTGGGACACTTATTCTTTGTTTACACAAAGATCATTGCTGCCCTACAACCTGAACTGGTTGGAAACTATAAACCAATCCTAAATTAAAATATAGCATTGATCTTAAAAGTGATAGGGAATAAAAAAAATAAAAATCAAGGGCCTGAGTGGACCCAAATTACCCATCACAGGACTTAAACTCATGTAGACTTGTGCAGAATTTAATGTGTCCAGTGTTGGGGTATAGTCTGGGTTAGAGACTCACCTTGCCATTGAACAGTTCTGATTGTGCAATGTGTGTGTTTCACATCTGAAATGTCTTATTTCATCAATATTTTTTCCCATTTCCCATTTCCCATTCATCAATATTTTTTTCCCATTTAAGCAACCCTGGGCTGTTAGTTTTCTTTTCAATTTCTATTCTTTTAAACTCTTACATCATTGTAGGGTTTCTGAATTTTGTTGGTATTTTGGTTTGTGTGGTTAATTTGTGGGTTTTTTCCTTAACTCTTAAAAGTACACAGATGCCAAAGAACAATTTATTTTAAGTGTTCAGCTCTCTTTGTCCCCTTCTGACACACCAGAATAGGGAGTTGAAGACTGTTTCGAACATCTCTGGGTGTATAAAGCTTTTCTGGGGGAAAGTTACAATTGATGTTTATCAGCAGTAGTGTTTAGTAGCACAGTCAGAATAAGTGTGGATTTATTGTTTTGAGTCAAACTAATGGGGGGGGTGTGGGGTGTGTGTGTGTGTCTCCTTCAGACACAGGCGTCTGGCTTTGTTGAAGCAAGTGAGTATCCGAGAGAACTGCTGCACGCTTTGCTGTGATGAGGTAGCAGACACAGAACTCAGGCCATGTGGACACAGGTAAAACCTTAAAAACAAACCAAAACCAAAGAAACAGGAAAAATGTGTGTTTGACATTCAGCTTAGGTGAAACCAGATGCAGTCCCTGCTTATCTTGATTGACTCCCAAGAGTAAAGGAAATAACCCCTTTTCTTCCAGATGTGACAGACAGAGGTTTAGCATATCATCCCCACTATTTCCCTCTCTATACACCTGAGATATAATCTCTAATTACATGTGTCTGGGGGTGGGGAAGTACTGCAGCAATGTACATATGCTACCCCTGGGCTTGTGAGTCTATATTCCCTGATATCAAAAGGTTTATTTAGAAACCTAGAATGGCTTGGGTTGGAAGGGACCTTAAAGGTCATCTACTTCCAGCCCCCCTGCCACGGACAGGGACACCTTCCACTAGATCAGTGCCTGCTTAGTATGTGTGTAGTACTGGTGCTGTGAAATCCAGATCACATGAGGAGAGCAGAAAATTCATTATATGCCCAAATACTCATTAAATGTTCAACGAATGGATTGTTTGAAGTAACAGATTTCTCTAAGACATAAAAATGGGACAGCAGTGTGAGTAATATGATAATAGCATTTTCCTGCCTTTAAGGAGCCTACTAGGAAATTAATTTAGCTAAGTCCAGTTCCTTAGTGTTTTTAGAGCACTTGTGGATGAAAGCAGTCTTGCCATGCATCTGGATGCTGGAAAGTTAAAATGAGGGGTGCCCTGTGTGTGTCCACAAGAAGTGGCAACAAGCCCCAGCAAGGCACTGGGACCAACTGTTCTCCAGATGAACAAAGTGTAATCCCAACCAGTGGCACTGGGTCTTTAAGATGCTGAGCAACAGGAGCTCCTCTCAAAGCCTGTAGATCACAACACCTGACTTGCAATTCCTAATCTCCAGTCTGAAAGACTTATCTTGAATGTGTTTCTAGGAGGCTAACTGAACTGCTTAGTGCTTGGGTTTTGTCTTGTTTTGCTGAGTTTTTTACACTGTAAATGCAGGCTTTAACTGATTTGTCTTCTCCTGCAGTGACCTGTGTATGGAGTGTGCCTTGCAGCTGGAGACCTGCCCCTTGTGTCGACAGGAGATACAAACCCGAGTCAGACAGATCTCTCACATATCATGACACACGTGGAGAAATACTACAGACTTGTTTCCAATTAACTCAAACCAATGCTGAAAGGGGAAAGAATCTCTGACCAATCTTTACATGCATAAAACCATAGCCACGGCCAGATTTCATGCTAACCTGTTATCTGTTAATCTTAAAAATGAAATCTTTATATTCCAAGTTGCCAGCAATGGGAACTGATTTCAAGAATAAGGAGAGCTGGTAGGTCAGTGTGCTATGGCTGTTGGTTCCTCCAAGCAAGACCATAGGAGAGTGTCTCTCTTCTTCCCCCTTTCCTTCTTGCCTGTCACAAGTGCTGGAAAAATTTGCACTGGAAGTACACATACAATGCATTTTAGAAAAGAAGAGCAAATAATTATCTCCTAAACCAGTGCTGTTCTGTCTTGTGCTCAAAAATCTCTTATTTTTGGCAGAAGTCAGTACTAAAAAGAGAATGCCAATGTTTTCCTGTTCAATGTAGCCTCCTGCTGGTCAGAGACTGTATTTTCCTACAGGGGATATTAAACTGCTCAAAGACTTAATCCATACACAGAGTGATTTGAAAAGACAGTGTGGAGACCAGAGAGAAACTCACACTATAATAACCTGGTGATTCCAAAGAATGTTCTGATTTGTCTTTAAACATTAAAAGATTGTTGGTATTTTCAGGTTTATGATGCTTTTAACTTCAGTACCCACATTTTTTTGTAAGGATATAATTTTCAGGAGGTATTCTTAACTAATTGTAACATTGGACTGGAATTAATTTGATATTCTGGGTATTTTTTAAGATATCATCAAACATCTTTTTTTAATCAGTGTTGATTTATAAAGTTATATTCACTTTGGAAATACTGAGCTATCTTAAAAGATTAGAGGAGAATTTGGGGCCAGTTTATTTAAAAAAATGTTATTTGGACAGGAAGTTGAGTCTTACTCTCTAACTCTAAAAATGCACCTTGCTTGCCACATGTCAGCCCTGCTCTGAGCACTTTTGCGGCCACACTTCATGTTTTGGTAGGGATCACCCACTGGGAATCTCTGCTCCAGTTCAGTTACACACTTGTGATGTTCATATGTTAAGAATGCATTTCAGCAGGCAGCACGTATGTGTCTTACTAGGTTCCTAGAAGGAAATGGGGTTCACAGCTGGTGTCAGTGAAGTAGCACAAAACCTGGTAGAGTTACGCTTCTTGGCAGTGATTCAACAGCAGAGTATGTGGCAGTGAATTCTTACGCTGCGATGTATCTTCTCTTTAAAATCACTTACCTTTACTGTCAAGTAGTAACACAGCAGAGCTGAGGCTGCTTCTTCCTCTTGAGCACTTTTGCTTCCTACTAACTTTAATAAGAGCAAAGAGGTCTGCATGCAGGTACCAGTCAAGCTCTCTGTTTCACCTGCTGCCTTTGCTAATGCAAAGGTGCTGAATTTCATCCAGAGATACACATTAGGAAGAGGGGGGCGGGGGGAAGGAAAAAAGTGTTTCTGTTTGTTTCTCTTGAACCTCTGGAGTACGATGTGTGAATTAGGACAGTTCTGTCCATCATTTTTTCTTGTTGACTTTTTTCCAAATATAGACTGAATCCAAAACTGGAGTGTTGGTTAGTCTTTTTGCTAAAATGATAATTCAATTCTGCCTAGAAATGCCTGCTTTGATTAGTCAGACTGGCAGATCTGTGCTGCAGGGACCTTATTTCCTAGCTGACAGTACTTTACAAGGGTTTGCTGTAATCCGTCTTGCCGGTCAGGGCTGAGTACCTCCCTCCTCGCTGCTCAATGCGCAAATGTGAACACCATCACTGCCATGAGGATGTTAGGATTTCAGAACCACTTGAAGTTTTTCAATGCTTCCAAATGCAATGATAGGTGTTTACGCCTAAGGTACGAAGATACAAACCATGCTTTAGGGAAGAAGTGGGCCAGACCCATTTTGAACTCTGCCTTAACTGATTTTAGGAACTTCAGGGCTTTGGTTTCCCTGGCCAGGATTAACTGAGGTAAAGTTTTCAGAAGCACAGAAGTGCCTAGGACTCCACATTCCGATCAACTGCTGCATGACATTAAGCATTTAAGGCCCAGGTCCACAATGGCTTAGATGTCTGGTGTCCCCTTGAAATGGAGGTGACTGAAGAGCTTCGCTGCCTCTGTGGACATGGGACTAAGTGCCTGCGTCCTTTGTTGGAAAGATGTGAATGCTTCGAAAATTTTGCCCCAGATCGTCTTCCATGTAGCTGGTGCTGGGTATGGAAGCCAGTGGAGATGGAGGAGGGAGCTGTGTCCCAGAGAACTGTTCTGTTCATTTCACAAATGGAAAGACTGCACCACTCGGTTGGCTTTCTGCTGGAATTCACCATGGGAGTGTCTTTGTAAAGCTCGATCCTCCACCACTACTGCACTCTCTCCCTCGGTCCCTGTGTGCTCCAAGGGCTCTGGGACTGGGAGGGGAGGTGGTGGCTCTGCAGGCGCTCAGGAAGGGGAAGAAGTTGTAGTGAAGTCGTCCATTCAACAATAAAGTCGTGAAAGCCATTTGCTGTTCTTTAATTCTTTGCTGCTGGTTAAGTGCCGGGCTTCCAACCGCTATGGTGCTGGGGGGTGATGCAGGCAGCCCTTGCACAAGAAACTGTCTCTCAGGCCGAAGGGCGAGGCCCGTGCAGGGCAGGGAAGTGGTGGGGCACAGCCTTCTGCCAGGTGGCCCAAGATACACTGAACCCTCGGCTTCAGAGTGCTGCCCTCAGGCCCATGCTTTGCGAGGAGAAAACCCGCGTTAATACCGGCGGGTGAGCTGAGCGCACCATAAAGAAGCACGCTGTCTGTGTGCTCCTTTCATTCCCAGGGCACTCCCGCCGCCACGACACCTCTTGACAACACACGGCCCCCATTGAGGCGGGCACCGCTTCCCCCGGTGTGGGTGGGCCCTCCGCGGCCGCCTCCGCTCTTCGATTGGCTGAGGGCGGGGCGGAAGGAAGTGTTTCTGTGGAGACGGCCGGGCTGGGCGACGGCGGTGCCGCGGCAGCGGGAGGTGCGAGCAGGGCTGGGTCACGGGCCACAGGCCACACTCGGGGCAGGCGGGAGGTGACGGAGGAGTGGGGAGAGGGGAGCTGACCGGAACGGGTCATATGGGAGTCGTTTCAAGACGGAAGGGGAAGGCCCGGCCCCCGAGGCCTTCTTGAGGAACGGTGAGGTAGGCTGGGAGGACAGGGCTGGGGCTGCACTAAAGCCAGGACTGAGAAGGGGGAGGAGAGTACCGCGCTCTTTCTTTCTCCTGTCCCATGGAGTGATGCCGTAGAGCTGGCTCCCGCCCTCGGCGATGGGTCACCCACCGGCGGGGAGGGGGAGAACGCGGGTATCCCCGCGCCAGCCCGCCGGTCTGCAGTGGTCGTGGGGAGCCGTGTGCCCTGTCCTGCCTGTGTGAGGGGTCAGCGGCTGCTCCCAGCCACGGGCCGAGGGTCTGGCCCGGGCATAGCCCCTCGCTGGCCAGATCTGGTCTGCGAGCTCCCCAGGACCCACCGGATCAGAGTAGCATCTTACCTGCCTTCGTCTCCTTGTCTATATAATAGTCACAGGTGCTTCAGGAGAAAATGTGTAAAGGTCACCTGAAGCCCCTTTATGGAGACTAACTCCAGGTGTGTGCAGTTCTGAGCCTGTTGTCTGGGGAAGCAGAGACAGTTCCTTGAGAACTCGGGTTATTACAGAAAAGAAGTAGCAGTAACTTTGGAAGAACATGCCCTACCTCTAAAATTTATGCCTCTGCAATTCCACTTTTTGAGAAGCATTTGGTAACTTAACAATTTAATTTGTATTAATGACAAGTCATACGTTGTTTCTTAGCATTTTGTCTGAAAAGAAGAAATAACTGGTAACAGCAGAAAGATTGTCTCTCCCCCACCCTGGCTATGCAGGAGCAATGGAGGATTCTGATGAAGAAACCTTTGATGTAGCCATGTGAGTATGCTATGATCTGCGTCAGACTTTCAGTAAGCTTATTACTAGTTAAAAACTCTCCATAGGGATATAATTACACAAATGAATTTACACCCCACTGGTTTGCAGATTCTTCCTCTAGGAGAATAAGGGCGCAGAATGTAAAGCTGCAGGAGGGAATCTCGTCAGTTCAGGGTTTAGTTAAGTGAAACTAAAAGTAACTGCAATGGACATAGCACTAGGTCTTTCTGGCTGAGTGATCAAAATAAGTATTGTAAGGCTGAACTACTTTTTTTTATGTTCACTTTGAAATTTCTGTCTCCTTTTCAAGAGCATATGTTGTCTTATGCCATAGATTCTAAGAAGAAACTATTCCTCTGTGTTTAAATATACTCCTTCTAGACATTTGAGACCATTTGCAGCTGACCTCTGCTCTGGAGACAAGTTGAGGGAGCTGGGTTTGGCCTGTAGAAGAGAAGGCTCCAGGAAGACCTTAGAGCAGCTTCCAGTGCCTAAAGGGGCTACAAGAAACCTGGAGAGGGGCTTTGGAAAAGGACCTGTAAGGACAGGACAAGGGGGAATGGCTTTAAGCTGACAGAGGGGAGATTGAGTTAAGATCTGAGGCAGAAGTTCTTCCCTGTGAGGGTGCTGAGGCCCTGACACAGGTTGCCCAGAGAAGCTGTGGCTGCCCCATCCCTGGCAGTGGATGAAGCTTGGAGCAACCTGGTCTAGTAGAAGGTGTCCCTTCCCGTGGCAGGGGTTGGAACTGGATGAACTTTAAGGTGCCTTCCAACTCAAACCAGTCTGGGATTCTATGACCTGAACCAAGTTTGATAAAATTTTACACTGCTTTGCCCCACATTTGTCTGGCATACTCTTTTCCTGAAGCTTGTGGAAAAAGGATGTGTGACTGTGCCTTGGTCTCTCTAGTTTTTTGTTCTTTCGGTGTACAGACTGTCATAAATGGCCACATGCTGGGGCTGCGGGAGCAGCCCACATTGTGGTGGCCTAGTTGTGCACAATAAGGCAATAGAGGCTTAAACCAGAAGATTCGTGAGCCTGTGTTTCTTCAGGTATGCAGATGCACATGTGTTGTGTAGAGAGGTGGAAATGCTGCTGTTTTGAACCAGATAAAACTCCATTATTTGTCTTACAAGCTTTAAATTCATACTTTAAATTTTCTGTTGCTGTTAAATTAAGCTCTGTAACTAGTAGTAGCTTTTATTTGGAGTAGGGAAAAGAGTGGAAATTACCTGTAGCAAAGTGCTTTTCTTGAATGTAAGCTAGAGGGGATGAGCCCTTTTGTCTTAATCCTTAACTTGATCGCGGCATCTTATGTTTCGACTGGTCTGTGCCAGCACCTCTCCTGATGGTGTTGTGCCCCCTGGTGGAAAAAGAGCCTTTTCCAGTCCCTTGCCTTGGCTTTGCTCATCTCCCAAGACAACAGATCAGGAATGGTGCTTCGCTTGGTAATCAAATGCCTTTTTAAGTCAAATAGATTTTTTGTTTTTTTTCTGGTCAGAATGAGCCCTATGGCTCATTATAGTTGGTTAAAATGTTATTGAATTAATTTCACTAGAAAAGTAACTGCAATGAGTTTTTTAAAAGCTATCCTGAAAGAGTGTTCTGCTCTAAAGAGAAATCCGAAAGAGAGAGGCTTTTAATTTAATTTAAATGGTGCTTTCGCTGATCAAAGCTGTTTTTCTTCTTAAAGACAAATGTCCTATGAGTCTTGTTTCCCTCATGTAAGAAAAAAACCCCTGACTTTTATCTCCTGGAGAATATAGGAAGAGTTCATCCCCCACTAAAGATGAACTGTGAATGCGAAGGAGATCCTGTGGATTATTTACTGTGACTGAACAAGCTGTGCAGTAATAGATTTAGCAGAGGGATCCAGAGTCCTGCAATGCTGGTACCAAAGGTTTCTTCCCCGGATTACTTCAGATCCATAATGGGGTTTAATTTTTAAATTTACTCACTATAGAATGAGCATAGGAGATTATGCCATTTACTTGTAGTGTGTAGGGATGTTTCTTGCATAAGAAGAATATTTAAATTGCTTCTGTTGTGTGGTATTTGTGTATCTGTTGAATTGAAGTGGTTCCACAAGATTAAGTATTTCAAAATATTCTCTAGGATGTCCAGAGTTCTCTGATCACCTTTCAGAGTTTACATGTCGAAGAGAGCAGAAGGAAAGCTTGTGGTAGCAGCTGGGAACTGTGGGCTGGAAAACACTTAATTTCTCTTCTAATTGCACTCTTTATATCCTTCTGCACCAGAACTGGAATTACCTTGGTAGTAATGCCAGTGAAACAACATGGGTTTGTTTTTTTTTCAATTAGGCACCTAACTGGGTGAAATAGAGTAGAGTCCTAATGAGAATCCTATGAAGCAGTCTGATCATCAGTGCCATGGATTATTTTGTAGGTTGAAACCAGGGAATTATTCAGTAATTTTGTAATTACTAGGCTGATTTGTGCTTAGGCTTTTGTTAACAGTTTTTAATTATAACTTTTAAACTTTTATTTCTGCTGTGCTAGAAATACAGCTTTATGCAGTATGGTCTTTCATTGCTTTCAGCTCCTCCTTCTCTGATGCAGAGTTTGATGCAGTTGTTGGGAATCTGGAGGATATTGTAATGGGTAAGTTCTGCAAGTAGTTGTAGACAACAAGATGTGTGCTTCACATATTTCAAGCTGCTCTTCTGTTAGCAGACATACAGAACTAAAATAGCCCCTTCCTGCTTCCTGAGTGCTTTTATTCCTTTGTTCCTATGACCCCTAACTTGGTAGAGTAGGAAAAATATATGCAAAAGTCTTTTGTGTGTTGTTTGCACAACGGTGCGCTTATTAATCTTGAAAACTATTCTCTGCACAACTACAGTATGCTGCTTCTAAATAAGCAGTAAAGATACTTGTAAATCTTACATAGAAGTTTCCAGGGATTTTTATACCCTCTTCTGAAGGGGATGGCGGAGGCTCAGATGCAATGTTCCCTTCCTCAGCTCTTCCTACCTTGTTTGTTGGGATAGGCTTAAAAGCTGCCACAGTTTGTCCAGACAATTTGCTGTCATGCCTAGCTGGTGCTGCTGTAATCTGGAATATAAAGTGCCTGTCCTGCAGTTTTAACATGTTCCTTGTTCTTTCTCTGCTGAACGTTGGGAGCAGTTTATTTTCTCTGTTTTTGCAGCACCTGTGCATAGCTGGAGATGGGTGTCATCACATCTTGTCACTTTCCTCTTTTTGAGACTGTTCTTCCAAGTTGATTGTGTTGCCTGTAACTTATATGCATGCACACAGTCATAAGGTGGCAGGACCTGTTCACAGCAGGGACATGGAATTCTGCTAGTCTCATCATATGAGCTTAGGCAGTTTTAGGTGCTAAATTCTCAGAACCGTGATGTTACCTGAGAAATCAGTCTGCATGGAGGTACAAGATACCAAGACACAATTTGTGCCAGTCAGCCACTAACTGCTTCATGAGAATAGCACGTTAACTTTCCAACCACATCCTTCCCAGAGAGAGGTAGATTCTGCAGCCTCAATTGCCTAGTGATGTAGCTGAATCTGGAAAAATGCTAACAAACTGATTTTGAATGCACAAAGGTTTAGAAAGATGAGACTGCTGTGTTTTAACACTGTGTTAAAGCAGTAAGCTCACTGCCCTGGACTTACAGAGAGCGGACTTTGGCCTCTTCAGGAACCTGCTTAGTAAGGTTCCATGGGAAACAGCCCTAGAGGGCAGGGGGGCCCAAGACTGCTGGTTGATACTCAAGGATCACCTGCTACAAGCTCAGGAGCGTTGCATCCTGACTAGAAGGAAATGGCAGCAGGACGGCCAGGAGACCTCCATGGATGGATAAGGAGCTGCTGAAGAAACATAGAGGGGAATAAAGAAGCTTATAAAAGGTGGAAGCAAGGACAGGCGGCCTGGGAGGAATACAGGGACGTTATCCGGGAAGCTAGGGACCCGGTCAGGAAACCGAAGGCCCAGTTAGAATTAAATCTGGCAAGGGATGTGAAAGATAACAGGAATGGATTCTGTAGGTATGTAGCAAATAAAAGACAGACTAGGGACAACGTGGGCCGTCTCCAGAAGCTATCAGCAGAACTGGCTACCCTGGATTTGGAGAAGGCTGAGGTTCTTAATGACTTCTTTGCCTTGGTCTTCACTGGCAAATGCTCTGACCACACCACCCAAGTCTTGGAAGGCAGACGCAGGGACCATCTTAAGAAACTGAATGTACACAAGTGCATGGGACCTGATGAAATCCATCCACGGGTCCTGAAGGAGCTGGCAAATGAAGTTGCTAAGCCACTGTCCCTCATATTTGAAAAATCATGGCAGTCAGGTGAAGTTCCCGATGACTGGAAAAAGGGAAATATAACCCCCATTTTCAAGAAGGGGAAAATGGATGACCCAGGGAATTACAAACCAGTCAGTCTCAGCTCCGTGCCTGGCAAAATCTTGGAGCAGATTCTCCTGGAAGGCATGCTAAGGTACATGAAAAATGACAAGGTGCTTGGTGACAGCCAGCATGGCTTCACTAAGGGGAAATCCTGCCTGATGGGTTTGGTGGCCTTCTGTGGTGGGGCTACAGAACTGGTGGACAGGGATAGAGCAGTTGACATCATCTACCCGGACTTGAGCAGAGCGTTCAACACTGTCCCACGCTGCATCCTTGTCTCTAAATTGGAGAGACATCAATTTGATGAATGGACCACTCGGTAGATAAAGAACTGGCTGGATGGCCGCACACAAAGAGTTGTGGACAGCAGCTCAATGTCCGGCTGGAGACCAGTAACGTGTGGTGTCCCTCAGGGATCGGTGTTGGGACCGGTCTTGTTCAACATCTTCGTCGCTGACATGGACAGTGGGATTGAGTGCGCCCTCAGCAAGTTTGCCGATGACACCAAGCTGTGTGGTTTGGTTGATCCGCTGGAGGGAAGGAATGCCATCCAGAGGGACCTTGACACGCTTGTGAGGTGGGCTGATGCCAGCCTCATGAAGTTTAACCATGCCAAGTGCAAGGTCCTACACCTGGGTTGGGGTGATCTCAGGGACAGCTAAAGGCTGGGCAGAGAAGAGATTCAGAGCAGCTCTGCAGAGAAGGACTTGGGGGTGCTGGTCGATGAGAAAATGAACATGAGCCATCTCCAGTGAGTACTCACAGCCCAGAAAGCCAACTGCATCCTGGGCTGCATCATAGGAACATGACCAGCAGGTTGGAGGAGGTGATCCTGCCCCTCTACTCTGCTCTTGTGAGACCTCACTTGGAGTATTGTGTGCAGTTCTGGTGTCCTCAACATAAAAAGGACATGGAACTGTTGGAACAAGTCCAGAGGAGGGCCATGAGTATGATCAAGGGCTGGAGCACCTCCTATATGAAGACAGGCTGAGAAAGTTGGGGCTGTTCAGCCTGGAGAAGAGAAGGCTGCGTGGAGACCTCATAGCAGCCTTCCAGTATCTGAAGGGGGCCTATAGGGATGCTGGGGAGGGACTCTTCATCAGGGACTGTAGTGATAGGACAAGGGGTAATGGGTTAAAACTTAAAGGAGATGTTCAGCTTAGATATAAGGAGGAAGTTCTTTACTGTGAATGTGGTGAGACACTGAAATGGGTTGCCCAAAGAAGTTGTGAATGCTCCATCCCTGGCAATATTAAGGGCCAGGCTGGATGGAGTGTTGAGTGGTATGGTTTAGTGTGAGGTGTCCCTGCCCATGGCAGGGGGGTTGGAACTGGATGATCCTTTCTAACCCTAACCGTTGTATGATTCCGTAAATGAACTTTACACTTACATCTGTTCTGTTGAATTTGGTGGTCACCTGCAACATTAATTTTTATTCTTGCTTCCTTCTGCAACTGGAAGAGAATTACCTAGCAATTGAAAATGAATCTGGGAATTTCACAAGTATTTTTTAATTCAAGAAAAAAAAATCTGAAATCTTGTAGTGAAGAATTTTAGTAATTTTATTAAAAAATACATATGTTTTGCTGACTTGAGCACTTGAATAAGAAGGTGTTCAGAATGAATAACCTTATTAATGAAGCATAGAGCAGGAGCACTTCTTTGCTAATACTAAGTGTAAGTGAAACTTCTGAGAAGTAATTATAGACCTTGTTAGGTTGATGTGTTGGTCCCATTCTATTCTGAATGCTGCCAGAACACAAACAGATGTGCTGTTGTCCTGTTGACGCCACTCTCTGGCTGGAGCAGCAGAGCTGTCCACCAGCAGTCTCGTGTCTTGTCACAGATGGGTCAGCAGTGGTGGCTCAGTAGCAGCTGTGGGACTGGTGTGACGGATTCCGCACGTGCACTGGGCTCTGTGGGTACAACAAGGGAGCAGAGGACTAGTGAATATGGGGTTTGTGTTCAGAAAGAATGATTGAACTCCTAACTGTGTGATGCATTTTTGTTGTGGCCCAGATGATGATTTCCAGCTAATGCAGAGGACTTTTATGGAGAAGCACTACCAGGCATTTGATGACTCAGAAGAAAACAAGCTCATCTATACTTGTATTTTTAATGAATATGTAAGATACCATTTTCCTATGTTTTGCATGTATTATTTTTTACCTTTCTTGAGGCCAGTGTCAGTTCCTATATTCCCTCCTTTATGAACTACTGGTTTTATATGGAGCAGAGCCAACATGCTGCCTGCTCTCTCCTTCTGACACAGTCATGATCTATGAACAAGATGTTTTCTGGAGGCCTGATTCCTTGCCCTTTTTTTCACCTGAAAATTTCTATATATGTTTTAGAAGTTATATAACTGTCCTGAATAGAAATCTAGGCTGTTGCTGTAGTATATAATGTGTTTAATGTGTGCATAACAAAGTTTGTTCTTTTCCAGTAGTAGTATTTAATGTACTGGACACTTCAGTTGCATTCTTCATGGCAAGCATAATTATGAAATTCTACCAGCCTACTAGTCAGTGCTATCCAATGAGTTAAAAATGATTTGTTGCTAGGTACAAATAGCATTTGTTCTCAACAACATTACCAGCAAAAATGTTCAGCTCTGTCTCAGTGGTGGTCTCGCAATTCCCAGCCAAGGAATCTCCAGTTGTTTGCCTAGTGAGGATAATACAAAGTGCCAATAAGGTCTCTTTGTAAGGAAGATGTGCTGTTTTGGAATCTGCTCCCGAAATTTGTTATGTGATGTTACAGAGGTGGTTTGTTTGGGTTTTTTTCAGATCCATTTAGTAGAGAAATACATTGAAGAAAAGTTGCTTGAACGGATTCCTGGTTTCAATATGACTGCTTTCATAATGTCACTGCAGTAAGTGTCTGCTTTGCTTTTGATTGGGGGATGACTTATGAGACTCTTAATTCTTTTTATCTACATTAAAGCTGTGGTTTCGAAGTTTTCCCTTTTAGAAAGATGTTCGTCATGAATTAAAAACATAAGTATTCATGCAGGCAATGACTGACCACTTTTCTTGCCTTTAGCATGTCCTGCTACTCTGAATTTCTGAACTGTTATGCTGAAATATATCAGATTTTAAGGGGTAGGAAGAGAAATCAGAATGAGAACACTGGAGGCTTTTCATAATCACTGTCACTTTGAATCCAGTTTATCTTGTTTATCACAGGTATGGTGTGGGACACTTAAATAGCCTGATAGTCTTTTAAAAAGCATGTGCTGAAATGCTTTTACTGAAATATTTTGTGTACAAAATATTCAGAGAAGACTTTGGTTTGTCTTAATCATTGCATTTGGTCACTTCAGTTTAACCAGCTTCATGAAGAGATCACTTCTGTAAGACCACTGGTTTTCCCCTTGAATAAGAGAATCAAATATAGGTGGGAACTGAATATCTTAAAATATTAGATTTTTTTTTTCTTGTAATAGGACATTAGGAAATTACTATGAACTCACTTAGACTGTTTAAGTTAAAGCTCCTTTTAAAGAAATTAATTAAATTTAATAAAATATTTTAAAAGAACAACAACAAAACAACAATAAAACAAAACCAGCCTTAAACTATTAAGAAAGTCTTGTTGAAATATTTGCAAGGGCCTGTAGGGACAGGACAAGGGGCAATGGCTTTAACCTGGCAGATGGGAGACTGAGATGAGCTCTTAGGCAGAAGTTCTTCCCTGTGAGGGTGCTGAGGCGCTGGCACAGGGTGCCCAGAGAAGCTATGGCTGCCCCATCCCTGGCAGTGTTCAAGGCCAGGCTGGATGGGACTTGGAGCAGCTGGACGAGCTTTAAGGTCCCCTCCAACACAAACCAGTCTGGGATTCTGTGACAGGCTGAGAAGGGAGCACAAGTACTTTCTTCTAAATGTTTTCATCAGAAGTGCAAGATAATACTTGGCTAAAGTTTTGCTTTATTTTAGACATTCTTGTTTAAATTTTGATATTGCTCTCCTCTTCCCAGTATCCCCTTTTATCCTCAAGCCATTTTAAAATAACTATTTCTCACACAGTTTTCTAATTCCCCAAATTCTTCTCTCTATAGACAGCACAAAGATGAAATTGCAGGTGACATATTTGATATGCTTCTCACATTTATTGACTTTCTGGCTTTCAAAGAAATGTTTCTGGATTACAGAGCTGTAAGTATGTCACGTTGTTTATTTTCATTGGTATAATGGCCGTTGGTTTTGTGTAGCTCTGTCTGAGAGTACCAAAGGTCGTGTTTACTACAGTAGGCAGCAGCATTTATTCAAAGGCTGTATCAGGGTCAGAAGGAAAAAAACTTCACTGAGTGGCCGTTTAAACACAAACCACACTTTTAATGATTTCTAGAAAACATGAATGAAGCTGGTATGTGGAGCAGTTCTTCAGAAACACACTCTTTGTACATCTTTGAACATTGATTTCCAACTGAATTTCAGGAGACACTTTTTCACTGTGAGGGTGACCGAGCACTGACAGAGGTTGCCCAAGTCAGACTGTGGAGTCTCTGTTCTCGGAGTGGCCCTGCTTAAACAGAGGGTTTGGACCAGGTGACCTCAAGAGCTCCCATCTCACCTTGACCATCCTGTGGTTCTATACTTTTTTCTCTCCTTCCCACTCCCCACTCATCCAAACTTAGCTTTTTAAGCTTATTCCATTTGTATTTCTCTTCCCTTCTGTCCAGGCTGGAGAAACAAACAAAACAAAAGTATTAAGATTTTGGGATAAGCTTTTTCCTAGGGAAATGCAATACATGAAAAGGCTCTCCAGTCACACTACATGTCAAGTCACATTTGACAAAGGAGCAAAAGAGTCAAAATTGCTGTCAGAGTTAAGCCTTCTGACGCCTCCCACACCCCTTAAAGTGTTCTGAAAACAAGGGCAGATTGAGGAGGAAGAGGTAGTGCATGTCTCGGCAGCAGGTGTAGCTTCAGCTGGGGTTTGCACCTCTCCTGAGAGACAGACCACAGAAGCAAGATCTCCCTTGTTCCCTGAGTGCTGCCTGGGTGTTCTTGACTGATGTGAGCAAGAATCTGCTCTGCCCTGGCCAGCAGAGCAATGGTGCGCTTACTGCAGGGTTTCCTGCAGAACCTCTTCTTGAAGTTTAGATTCACATTCAATCTCAGATGCTCAGGTAATGTGTAATTTTATACTGATTTGGTGCAGCCAACAGAGTGTGTATTGCCCGTTTTAGTTTTTGAACTGCTTATTCCAAAACAGCATTGAGTCACAGATTTCTTTTTCTCCCATGTTTCTAGGAAAAGGAAGGCCGAAGTGTGGATTTAAGCAGTGGGCTAGTGGTGACTTCACTAAACAAGTCATCAATGTCTTCCTCCTAGACCAGTTTATGCAAGACTTTGCTTCTGCAGATGAAGAATCCTGGAACTTTAAAGGAATCCTGTTGATGTATTTTGTAATTGTAGAGCTAAAGTAATGGTTTGCAGCTAAAATTGAAAATATCCTGTCATTGTTTTTATTGAAGTACATTTTCATTCTTTTCCTGTTGCAGTTGTTTCAGTTAATTACTTCAGTCAATGGCAGTATGAGTAAGTACCTCGGCAGTTACATTCTGTTAGGAGTTCTGCTGTATTTTAAACAAGGCCTCTTGTTAATCCAGAGGCCACAAGGCATGCTGGGGGTCAGTTGTTCTTTTGATGGGGAATTGTATCTTGGTGATCCCTGCAAGACCTGCCTGCCTCTGTGCTGCTTTCTCCTGTCTGTGTTTCTATGGGCCTCTGTCCCCAGGATAACTTGTCCCTCTGTCACACTCCTATTACTCATCCCTGTTTCAGTGTGTTTTCAATCAGGCAGAGGGGCTTTTTAAGAGAGATTAAATGTCTCTATATAATGAACTACCTGTGTACAAGCCTGGCTTCATGTTTAAGAGTTTTAATGTTGTCATAACAATGCATGCAAAGGCTAATTTTCTTACTGTTACCAATATATATATATATGTATATATATATTTGTGGAAACATGACCCTTCATTTCACTCACTGAAAACCAAGCAGAGACTGGTGTGTCAGGGACTGCTGCAGTTTGTCCAGTTCCTTTTCGGTTCACACCTTCCATTAATGCAACTACGTTTTCTGAGCCTACCTCTGTTCAGGAGCTGTTAGACCTTCTCCTGTGTGGTGCATGCAGTGCATTTTGCAGTGTGGCTCACTGTGCTCCAGCTTCCCTGTGTAGCAAGATCTGGAAATAAATTGAACTTGTTTCATCTATTTTTATTAGCCCGTACAAGGAGGGTGTGAAGGGAAGAGCTGCTGTATTTGGCTGGGCATCACTCCTAGTTCTGACAAACACCAGCCCGTGTCCCCAGAAAGCGAAAGGTGAATTTGTGATCTGCAGTGCAGGGGAACAGTGTGGCTCCGAATTCTCTCAAGCACTGATCCGGGGTATGTTCCCAGAGCAGCTGCAGACATGGTTTTTATATTTGAAGACCACCTGCACCAAGGGGCAAAACTGACTTCCTGGTTCATAGGTGGTCCTGTGAGCTTCAGGGGTGTGATTGGTGCTGAGCCTAGATGAAGGAGTGCATCCAAGCCCTTGGCACCTCTTCCACGTTTTTGTGATCTTGTATGCCCACTACATGTGTGTGTGCATGGATGTGAAGCAAAGCAAGGTGAACCACATGGGCCTTCCTCCTCCTCCCCTAGGGCTGGGCTATAGGAAGGGGCAGTCCCCTCTTGCACTGACGTTCCTGCTGCCCGCTCCATGCCATGCTGTACCTGCCACCTTACAAGAAAATACTGTCCTGAGAGACTCCAGTGCTGGATTTAGAGATGGTTTTATTTAAAGATACTTTTTTATTTAAGTAGATTTTAAAGAATTTTTTATTTAGCAGGTTTTTTTTATTTAGCGGATTTCTTTGTTAAAGATTTATATATAATTTGTGCTTCAAATTGTTAGAAATCAATACAAGAAAGTTCAGACTTCTTCCTTTGCTTAGGCTTCATCTTCCAGCTCTGCCACTGTTCATGTACCACATTAGTTGTAATCACTTACACTGTAGCTGGGAACCAGAGCTTGATTTAGTGAATTTTAGTATGGGAATGACCCCTCCATGGAGCTGCTCCAGTGAGGATGAACTCCAAGGACAAGCAGGAGCTTCAGCCTCTAGCAAGTCCATGTTTTCCCAGTAAGGCTGTCAGTGACAGCACCGGTGGGTTTCTGATATGGGTGCATCAGCAGGAAGCATCATCAGAGACCACAGAGCAGCATCCACATGGCCTGGTACTGACCGTGGCTGCTCCAAGAGCGAGACCTATTGGCATGTGAAGCTCCAAGCCTGGCACAAGCCAGAGTGGCCCATGGCTGGGCTTTGCTGTCCTCCTTATGCGTGGTCAGTCACTTGGCTGGTGGCTGCATTGCTGCCAAGCCCTTTCCAGGCACGGAAGCTGAAGAAGGTACTCGCCCCATAGGCAACCATAGTGAGGCAGGCGAAGAACTGGAAGAGGAGCAGAGGCTACGGGTGAGCGCAGCAGCTGCCTGGCCCTGCGGCCTTCCCCTGCCCACTGCTACTTACGGATGCCGCAGCTCTTCGGTTGTAATCCCATTGCCGCCAGGATGTCGGTTGAACTGCAGCCGCGCACGTTACGAAGGCGGTGATGTACAGGACAGTTGCCACAGTGTTGAAGATCATCAGCTGGGGAAGGCAAAGAGGAGGTCGTGAGGTCTGGGCTCAGACTTACGTGTGCTGGGATGAGGGACAGTCAAAAGGCTCAGTTTCACATTCCTCCCTCATCCCCAGGAGAAGCTGAAGAAAAGGGTTCAGCCCCTCACAGTGGGAACAAACCAAGGTAACATCTCACTACATGCACCCTGGGCTGTGCTGAGAGATTTCTGGTTGACTTCATGCCTGCAGCAGCAACATGGTGGCTGTAACTTTCTGGATTGATTCAGGCTTCCCTGTTTTGAACATTTTCTAAGCAATCGAGGGGCAGAATGAAACAATATCATTGTGCAAAGTGCAGGGGACTTTGTTCCACCAGCCCAGAAGAGTGTGAAGCCCTTGCTCCTCTCTCAGCATCTCCCCAGTATGTTTTCCATTTAGGAACTGCACTCGCTTCCTCTTGACTACGCACCACGAGGGACCAGGGGACCACGTAGAACTTGAGCTGAAGCTGTAGAAGGTAAATAATGAAGAAAAGGACTGTTACTATCCAGAAGAAGATGGACACAAACATCACCCAGCTGTAGGCAGCGTGGAGATAGTAAGTCGTGTCAGCGATGAGAGTCCACACCAGTAAACCCAGCACCTGCGGGGTGAAAGAGGGAAGAGTTCAGGTGATGGTTCCTGCAGAGCATCGCCCAGGAGCCCTGGCTCACCTGCACCTCTGGCAGCTGGGTCCCCACAGTCAGCACAGCAGGACTGGACTGAGGGACAGCTCAGGGCAGGGAGCTCACCTGGGACCCTCCTCGCTCACGGGTGAGCTCATGGTTGGTACTGCTGCCTCAGGAGCTGCACAGGGATGTCCTGCAAGGCAGGAGGGGTGAAACATGAGTAACCTCAACACCAAAGGCCCCTGCTCCACCAAGAAGCCCCCATGCACAGGGCCAGTCTCTGCAGGGGCTGGTTCAGTGTTAGAGACATCTCATGGGCTGGATGAGAGCTGGATGTGTGAGGGCTCAGCCTTCAGCTCTCCCAGGTGCAGCAAACTTCTGGACTTTCTCCCACTGCTTGGTCTAGTCTGATCTGGTTTGCACCTCCCATGTACACTGCTCCTGGGCCTCAGCTTTCACTGTTCAGCAGGTTTAACTGCATAACAGTTGCAGCATCGTCGGCCTGCAGAGTGATCCACAACAAAACCCCAGGTAGGCGAGTCTGTTACTGCCTTGCAGAGCCACAGCTGGTGGGACAGGGAGCAGATCTCTGCCCTTGGCTGGCAGGGATAGAAGAGCCCAGCCCTGTGCTGTGTCCACCCCTGATCCTTGGGTTCAGGAGGAAATGCTGACCTGCTTTACCCCCCGCTGCCTTCTCCACCATCCCCTTCCCAAGAAGCTCCCTGAAGCAGCAAGTTTATGTGTATTTTTTTATTTATAAAGCCTTTAACCCGTGATGGAGCAAGCAAAGGATGAGACAGCAGCACACAGTAGTGGGCCCTAGAAAGGAAAGGCTGTAGCAAAGCAACTGGCACTTTCTGTGATTTCTGCAGTCTCGACCACAGCCTGCGCACCGGGATGCAGAACTAGGGCTCTGGCACCCAGAGGGGTGCTGGTGGGCCCAGCTTCACCCTCCTTCATCACCTCCTGGCTGCACCAGAGCAAAGCAGGGTCCCTTCACACACACCTCCTGGGGAGATGTGAGGCTCCAGCCCTGCACCCTTCATGTTTTCCAGCACGACTGAACATCCCAGAGAGATGCCCATGGCAAGGCCAGGGTAAGAATGTGCCATAGATGCAGTCACGATGTATTCTGGTTCCCAGCTGGGGTTGGGATCACAGACTCAAAGAATGGTTTGGGTTGGAAGGGCCCATAAAGCTCATCCAGCTCCAACGCTCTGCCATGGGCAGGGACACCTTTCACTAGACCAGGCTGCTCCAAGCCCTGTCCAACCTGGCCTTGAACACTGCCAGGGATGGGGCAGCCACAGCTTCTCTGGGCACCCTGTGCCAGCGCCTCAGCACCCTCACAGGGAAGAACTTCTGCCTAAGAGCTCAGCTCAGTCTCCCCTCTGTCAGGTTAAAGCCATTGCCCCTTGTCCTGTCCCTACAGGCCCTTGTCCAAAGCCCGTCTCCAGGTTTCTTGTAGCCCCTTTAGGTACTGGAGCTGCTCTAAGGTTTCCCCAGAGCCTTCTCTTCTCCAGGCTGAACAAGCCCAGCTCTCTCAGCCTGGGATCTTGCTGGACAGAGCCAGGTGAAGCTGCCAGAACTGCCTGCACAAGCTCACATGGCTTATTGTCAGGGGAGAAACACAAGAGGCTTTGTCCTGCCACAGTGCACTGCCCTGGTGCTCACTGCTGTGACAATGCTGCCTTGTCTGGCACATCCATTTCTAATGCGTGTGATCACAAAATATGCGTATATCCCCCGGCTGTAAGGGGAGTGGAAATCAGGAGCCCTTATGAATAGGTTCTGGGGAGCAGTGAGGTTCAGCAGATTTGAGCTGGGTAAGCATGTTTAATGGTATGGCCCTAGTAATGGGATCAGGTGTGGGGTTGGAGGGTCCCTTCTGCTGATACTGATTCCATCTCTCTTTCCTGATGCTCCTGCAAGATACCCCCTGACAGTGTCCTTCCCATGCCCCTCCTTGAGCATTTGTTCTTCCGTCACAATCACGCCCATGCCCAAGGTGGAACTCTGGAGTCAGGGAGCCAGCTCTGTGCCAGCTGCTGTGCACCATGCACACTCAGTGCCCCAGGGAGAGGGGACGCGTAAATGTGACCTCAACCGCAGCAAGGCAGCTCACACCAGGACCCCTGTGCAGCTGAGTACCCACTCCTGTGCACACGGGGCACCCAAAAGTCCCAGGATGGAGCAGCAGTAGGAGTTTATTCTGCAGCTGCCTCCAATGGTGAAGCTATAGGAAGGTGACACTGCTGCTGCTCAGTCTGACGGTACAAAGACCCTTCTGCTTTTTTACAGAAGCCACCAAAGCCTGACACAGGGGAGGGCAACCGGAGGCCTGGGAGGGCCCAGGGAGAATGAGAGCCATAGGGCACTCTGGGAGCACACACAGCACCCCACCTCAGCAGTGGCACCCTGCTCCCTAAGGCCTCCGGCTCCTCTGGCTTTCGCCCCGCCAGGATGTCCACTCAGACCAACCGTGCTGGGTGCTGGGACCTGCCCGGCGCTGAGCAGAGCTCCAACTCGTATGCGAGCAAGGAGCTGAATTTTCCTCTGGCTTTGGAGAGGGACGGAGGAGAGGGGGGGGGGTGGCGGTGTCTGAGGGTCAGAGGTTAATCGGGGTTAGCGAGCGAGCACAGGGTAGAGATGGCAGCCGGAGGAAAACCGAGCAGTACCCACCCCGGGCGACAAAGAAAAGCATCATCCGCCACGCGCGTGCTGCGTGCGCGCACCCTCCCCGGTGCCCCGCGGTACTCACGGCCTGGGCGCACATCAGCCCCCCGAGCGGAGAGAGCACGAAGGCGCCGTCCAGGGCTGGCAGGGCGGCGGCGGCGCTGGGGGACCCGCTGCGGGACAGCCCTGCCATGCCGCGGGCACTGCCTGCGCGCGGCCCCGGGGCTCCTCCGCCCCTCCCCGGGCGGAGCACCCCGTCACGCTCCACGCCGCGCTGCCACCCCTGTGAAGGCGGCTGCTGGCCCGGGACACCGCGGGTCTTCCCTGCACTCCCTTCTGTGGCCTTTCTGTGGCACAGCGTGCCCCGGTGCCGGGGGCTGTTGCTCCGGGCACGTCTCCCTTTTGCATCCCAGACTGGTTTGTGTTGGAAGGGACGTTAAAACTCACCCAGTTCCAACCCCCTCCATGGACAGGGACATCTTCCACTAGAGCAGGCTGCTCCAAGCCCCATCCAACCTGGCCTTGAACAGTGCCAGGGATGGGGCAGCCACAGCTTCTCTGGGCACCCTGTGCCAGGATCTAATCTCAATCTCCCCTCTGTCAGGTTAAAACCATTCCTCTTGTCTGTCCCTACAGATCCTTGTCCAAAGCTCCTCTCCAGGTTTCTTGTAGCCTTGTAGCTACATCCTTGTAGGAACTGGATGAGCTTTAAAGTCCTTTCCAACCCAATCCGTTCTGTGATTCTATGATATGAGTAGATACATGCAGTGTGAAGTGTTCAGTGTTTCCTCAGACCCCTGTCATGCACCTGAGGATGGCCCAGCACGTTATACTGCCTCACGCTTTGTGATACCGGGTGGCTGGCCCGTGGCCTGCTCCCGTTCACCCCATCCCCTGCCCCTGCGGCCCCTTCCCCGAGTGGTTCTGCTGGGAGGTGGGACCCCACCGGCTCTGCCCGGTGCCCCGCGGGTCGTGAGCAGCGGCTGCAGTACAGCGGCGGTCGCGGGTCCTATAGAGCAGGGAAGGGGGAGTGGGGGGGGGAGGTAACACAGCATGTAGCTGTCAGGATGGCCGAGCGGTCTAAGGCGCTGCGTTCAGGTCGCAGTCTCCCCTGGAGGCGTGGGTTCGAATCCCACTTCTGACAAGAGGCAACTCTTTTGAGATGTGATCTCACCTGTACCTTTAATTAAAGTTAATTGGCTAACCCTGTTCAGTCGGGCTGGGGCATCCTTATGTCCTCCTCTTCAAGCAAAATGTTGTCACGAGGCGGTGCAAAACATAGCTGTCAGAAGTGGGATTCGAACCCACGCCTCCAGGGGAGACTGCGACCTGAACGCAGCGCCTTAGACCGCTCGGCCATCCTGACCTCTGCTGGAAAGCATTCTAGTGATCTTCCTCTGTTACTCGCCCGGAGTCACCGCGCATTCAATCGTGATAGTCCTGGAGTGATGATGGTGTGAGCAAGGAAGAGGTGCCCGAGAAACAGCGGGTGTCACCCCCACTGCCAAGGGGCCGCCGAAGAGCTACGGGCCAGCCAGCCTCTCACCCACCCCGGGAGTCATAGAATTATGTGGACTGGAAGGGACTTTAAAGCTCATCCAGTTCCAACCCACTGTCATGGTCAGGGACACCTTTCACTAGACTAGGTTGCTTCAAGCCCTGTCCAACCTGGCCTTGAACACTGCCAGGGATGGGGCAGCCACAGCTTCTCTGGACACACAGCCAGCAATGTCCCTCAGAGGCTTTGACAGAGGCCAGCTCTTCACTGTGCGAGCCAGTTGCAGGGATGTCACTGTTCGGTCTTCACTACAGAAAAACACAAACCCTCTTAGCACCTTTTGGCAGCTCCTGCTACTTCTCCAAAGTATTTAATATTAATCGGAGCAGTTGTGCCTGCACCATGTTCTATGATGCCAATGCTCCATTCTGCCAACAAGTACATCTGTTAGTCCTCTCCCCATCTATTTATCCCCACCTCACTCTGTGTGTAAGTCCATGATCTCACTTGAAGGCTGCTGGTCTTTAAATGGGGGGGGGGGGGAAAACCTAAAAGCCTAAAACACTCACCCTTCAAATAAATTCCAGCATTTGCTCTGTTCCAGACTGCTCCTTGCTCCAAAGCAAGCACATGGGCTGACAGGGTGATGCTGAATTGGGGGTTTGGGTGATGGGGCAGTGCTTACATGACAGCTTGTTTGGAGCAGCGGAGTTCAGTCCTAGCAATTTGGAGACTGCTCTGTACTGACTGGACTGCAGCCTCCTACCCCTTCCTGCCCACGAATACAGCTCAGAGGAGTTGTTTGTATGTGCTGTTGCTATGAAAGAAAGGTGGGAGAGCAGCCAGGCAGGGGAGGAGTGAACAGGGGTCAGAAGGGGAAAAGCCACATAAACAGCCAGCAGAGAAAGCTATTTTTTGAGCAGTTCAGACAGCCCATTGTCCTGCGGTGAAAGTCCCAGCAGCCGCAGAGTGGAGCTGTTTATCTGCATCCATCCACGTGCTGCATCTCAACAAGCAGAAAATGATACAGCAGCGCTGAAATCATCTCCTCCGCATGGCCCCTCGAGGTACAGAATCTGCGGGAGCCTGGTACCTCCACGGGCTGGGCTTCTGTTCCTGCGCGTCCCGAGAAGCCTGTCCAGCACTCACGAGAAGGTGTTTGGGAGCGCTGGTCCACCCATACCGGCTCTGAGTTACCAGCACCCACCTAGGGGATCTCCTGTGGTATGGAATCATGTCAGCAGGGCAGAGGCGGTGCTAATTAACTCAGGGCAGAAGCAGCGATTCTTAAGAGTGAATGCTTCAGCCAAGCAGGCAATAACCACCGCACGATGGCGTTGTCTGCTGCAGCAAGAGGCAGAGGCCAGTCCTGCCCAGGAAACTCTACGGGATCCTTCCCATCTCCCCTTCGTGGCCCCTGTCACCTTGGGGCTGGCAGGGCCAGTAGCTGGGGTCACACTGAGTGGGTTTGTCCTATATCAGCCATCCGGTGGGTGCCCAGGGGAAGCGGCACATCCCGTGCTGATGGGGTCTTTCCTCTCGGCGGATGCCTGTCGGTGGCGGCCGGGGTCTCAAGGGGGCGTGCTGCACCGCCACCCCATCCCTTCTGTCACAGCTCTGCAGCGGGTTGTTAGCTAGATTTCACCCTGCTGGCCTGAAGCGGGTGAACCGGTGGTTTTCGGAGCCTGGGGCGGGATGTGGAGCCAGCTCAAGGAGAAGGGCTCATGCAGCAGAGGGCTTGTTTTGTTTTGGCAAGCAGGCATGAGCCAGACTTGTCTTCCCTCACAGTCCCTGTTTTGAGACTGGCTCTGTCCTGGGGGGAGGATTTGTTTCCCAGATACAGTTTTGAATCCTAAACATGCCTCACCTCTGCTTTTCTTAGTTCTCCTTTGCTGCCTCCTGAGTTGATAGGAGGAATCAAAGCCCAGGGGGGTAATATCCCATATCCTTACCCCCAGCAACCCCTTTTTTAGCTATCCCCTAGCAACACCAAAGTGCTAAGGACAAGCATCTGTAGTCTGTTTCTTTTAGGAAACAAGACAGCTACACTGACCCTAAAAACACACCTCACAGCCACCAGAACTGGTCAGGAGAGCACGAGGAGCTTTTGCAGCAGATGGTGGGGTAGGTGTAATGCTGTCATGATCCCAGAAAGAAAATCAGAGGAAGGCAAAAACGTTGGGACCAAGCTGACTGGTCATCTAAATACACTGGTGAGGGAGCAGGTCACTGGTTGGGTGACAGCTGAAACCCACACTGAGCGTGCGGGCTCTGGGCAGAAGCAGAGAAGGAGACACCCTGTTCTTACAATGTGGGGTGCAGCAAAGCTGGGGTGGGAGAGGGAAGGGGTCTGGTCACTCCCTGCTCTCTTTGTTGAGCCAGCGATGCTTGAAAAGGGTTAAGAGCTCAGGCAGGGAAATGCATGTTCAGGACTGTTTCCCTGCCCAGCCCAAGTATGTTTATTGTGTTAGTGCTGTAAAGGCTTGTTGGTGTTGGAAGCCCTGTGGGCTCCTGGGGCTGTTTGTTGCTGCCTGTGTGTGTCAATGGGCACTGGTGGGGAGATTGGCACATACCCATGGCTGAGGCTTGGCAGAGAGCTCCACCTAAATGAGCTGTGTAGCAGCTCTGGTTTGGAGACCTCTGATGTCCCATTCCTACAGGAGACTGGCTGGGATTTGAAACCTTGCAGGATGGGAGGGCTTAGCTCAGACTTTGGGGTGCAGATGGCCACAGTGGAGACACATCTAGTGCGTCATAGCACCGCATGTGGCAGCTCTTTTAGCCCTTTGGTGCTGGCCCACAGGTTGCCACCAGCTCCTCTGGAGACACAGTTGGGGGTAAGCCCCAGCAGTAACATTAGAGAAGAGTTTTCTGCATCTCTCCATGCACCATCATGACTTAACTCATGTCAAACTGCTTCCGCGGCCACTGTTGGATGTTCTGTGGAGACAGGAAAAGGTGAGCCTTTCCAAAAAGGCAATAAAAAGAGCCACTTCTGGTAAGATTCTTTCTTGGGGACTGGCAACATTCATGCGCAAACATGTTGGATGGAGAAGTGAGAAGTGGGGATGTGGAGAAGTGATGAAGGTGGTGGCCCATGCATATTGTTGGATGGGACCAAAGGGTTGTGTCTGTGGTAGGCAGGAGCTCCCTCTGTCCCTGAGCAAAGGGCTGGGGTCAGGACCTAGCAATTCCCAGAGAAAGGCCCCTCCAGGACAGGGGATTGCTGACACAGATGCTTGCTGCTCCTGCTGTCACAAGAAGGAAGGAGGCAGTAACTGGGGCACTTGCCTTGTCCTCTCCCACAGCCATGGCAGGAGGCAGTAGCCTGGCCCTTGGCTCTGGCAGAGCTGAAAGAGCAGAGCTGTGGCATTTAGCTGCTCCCAGCCTTCTGCCTGTTCCACAGTGGCCCTGCTAGGGCCCTTTCCCATTACGTGAAGGAGGAGAGACCCTGGGTACCACCCCGGGGTGAGGCAGAGCACAGCCACATCAAGGGAAAGCCTAACTACAGCTCCCGCAACAGCCATGGCCTCCTGTGGTGCATGGAGGTTTCTGTCATGCCCATCCTGACCTCTCTCCTCTCTTCTCCGCAGTGCAGTGATGAGAGATGTCCCTTTCAGGGATCATCTGGCTCGCCTTCATCACACCGGCTCCATGGAAATGCTGTCTTCAGGACCTGCAGTTATGCAAAAGCTGTGTAATATCAAGGTGTCCCTCTGGCTCTGCAGGGACTTGGCAGGACCCAGGG